ACAGGAGAGATGAAAAATTGCACGCTATTGTGGCGCGAAGCACGAATTCGAAGTCAAAATGTACAAAACACCTTATTCATCCCCGTTCGAATTTCAACTACAGAATGGGAGGCCTTGTGCCCCGTATCAAGGGCATTTCCGGGTTGGGCCATGCATTTTGTAGCCACAGCTTGGGAATTGCATTTTATAAGTTTTCAATGTTTCGGTAGTTGAGAGACCTTTAAAAATCGAAAGTCATTTTGTAGCAAAGGAATTTGTAATGGTAGCGGTGGAGTGTCCCCTTCAAGTAACTTGATGATAAAAACAAATCTTCATTTTGTAGTGGTGCGTAACCCTCTGGGGGTTGAGAACCATCATTTTTTAATGGCTGAGGTTAGGAACTTTTTGCAATGCCTACAAAATGAGGGTCTCGACCCCATAGGTGAAATTCAAACCGGGATCCTTATTCTCGGATCACTTTTGGAAGTTGAGATGTTAAGAAGTGCGCGCCGTTGTGGCCCGAAGCACGTTTCCAAGTCAACATGTTAAAAGCACCACATGCTCAGACCACTTTTGAGCGTTGAGATGCCGTTTCGCGTGGCAGGCGCAAGGGTTTGTGCACCGTGTCAAAAGTGAGCAAATCGTGAGGGTTTTGTAGCATTTCCAAAAACAATGGCAGGCGTGGGACATTTGAAGAGGATCTGGAAAGATGCATGTCGCATGGCAGGCGCAGTGCAAGACACATGTTCATCAAAGTGTGTGAAAAATCAGGGCGCTGATTTCCTGAGAGGGGTTGCATTTTGGAGCATCAGATCTTCAGGCTTGCTAAGGTGATTTTGCGTGACAGGTGCAGCTTATCTAAGGTTTAAAAGGTTTGCTCTCATACCATCTTATGCCAGAGGTTGCTGGCGGTTTAAGGTGGCAAGTTCGGTGGCGGTGGCAGTTGGACATGGCAACGCGGGTGGCAGTTTCAGTGGCAATAAAGAGTTGGTGGCAAGATTGATGGCAGAATGTGATGGTAAAAATGGAGGCAGCCGTATTTTGGTGGCAAAGGGGTGGCAACTTTGCATGGCAAAAATTGAGCCGGAAGTTTAGCAATCGCATTTTGGCGGCAGCAGAGGTGTCAAAATTTGACGGCAACTTTTTGTGCAGACAAGGTTGCAAACACCTTCGGTGACAAAAGAGGCGTTAAGTGTACATGGCACATGTTGACAGAAAGGGGAAAGGGTGTGAGAGACTTTTCCGGTTCAAATGGGATGGTAAGTTGATGGCAAAAGCGCTGGCAGATTTTGGGGCAACATCAACTAAGTAGAGAGAGAGAGAGAGATGCTGACAAAAATCATGTCAGCTCTATTGCACCTTCAACGGGGGCAACACCCACCAACCCCTATGAATAAAACACGAAGCCAGGCAAATATGATAGGCGGGCATATTGTTTTCAACCATCCCCTTGCTGGTGGCGCTGAAGCAGCTTGAGCCCTTCTGGTTGCCATCATTGCCCATCAAAAAATAATGCCCATTTTGTCAAAAATAATGCTTATTTTTGCAAAAATCGGCTTTATTTCCTGACGGGCAGGTGGGCAGCTGCTGCGCAAAAATTTGCTCAACACTTTTTTTCTGTGCCCCACCAGCATGGCACAATATTCCAGCGTGGCTGAGACACGGAAAACCATTAGACCAAAACACAACCGAAACGCAATTGCTGACCAAGTGAACTGTAAGCACACCAATTTCTAAGCACGAAGTTTGATCATGTCACACCATTGAAAATGGTCTCTTGCTTTGTATATGGCACAATTCAGAAGTCGCTTGTGCAAGCCAACGGCTGCAATGTGCCTTCTCGGTTTGCTTTTCCTACTAGGTCCTAGTGATTTCCCACTTTCGCGTCCAGTCTTTAGCCCTTGCCACACTTTTTGCCATAGCTTTGCCACCTGTGTTGCCAGTGCTTTTGCCCGCAATGCAAGTTGGCCCTTTCGTTGCCACGTGTGTTGCCAAGGGCTTTTGCCCGCAGCTGAAATTTCGCCATTGAATTTGCCGCCCGTGCTTTTTCCCCACCCACGCATTTGCCAGTGTTTTTTTGCCACCAATGTTGCCATTACCTTTGCCCCCGTCGGCGCAGATTGCCACTGCCATTGCTTTTGCCCTCGAGATTGCCATCGTTGTTGCCATCAAATTTGGGTGCCGAAAAGGGCATTGTTTTTGAATTTTAGATCAGGTGCAGCACTTGGTATGACCTGGCCTCACATTTTCGTGGCAGGCGCAGTACTTTAGACAGATGGAATGGAAAAAATTGCAAAACGCATTGCTACGAGGCCGTCAGCTCTGCACTCAACTTTCCATTTTTAAAGGAAGTCTTGCAGAATTGCTTCAGTTTTGATGTTATCAACTTCAAAAATTGAAGAAGTCTCGCAGAATTCCTTCGTTGTTGACGTTGTCACGTTCAAACTTTGAGGAAATCTCGCAGATTTTCTGCGTTTTCGATGTTGTCAACTTCAAAACTTGAGGAAGTCTCGCAGGCTAGCTTCGTCTTCAAGCTTGCAGCTAGACAGATAGAAAGATAGACAGATAGACAGATTGATAGATAGACACAGAGACAGATAGATAGACAAACAGACAGATAGACAGATAGACAGACAGATAGATAGATAGATAGACAGATAAATAGATAGATAGAAAGACAGATAGAAAGACAGATAGCTAGAAAGACAGATAGCTAGAAAGACAGATAGATAGAAAGACAGGCAGATAGAAAGACAGATAGATAGATAGACAGACAAATAGACAGGTAGACAGATAGATAAATAGATAGCCCGGCACTCCAACCACCTTTCGGTCCATCAATGGGTTCGGTCTGCAATCCGTGATTTACAACAACCAAGCTCTCCTATAGGTTTACTATTTTTGAAACTTCCGCCACCGCCTACTACCGGTATTATATTTAAACAAATCATACATTAATACTTATTTTATAGTATTTGTACATTTATATATATATATATACATGTACATATAAAAATAAAAAATAATATTATATATAATATATGTAGCATTTTTTATAATAACCTGATCCACCAATTTGGCGACAGGAGTCCCTGCGACAGCAGCTGGCAGCGCTCCAGTGGCGCTTCGTCACCGGCAGCTGCGAGGCCAAGCCCCAGAGGCCGGCGCATTTCTTGGCGATGCAAGGTAAAAAGGCCTGGGCCTGTGAAGCAGGGGAAAACTAGGGAAAACGAGTGGGGAAACCATGGCAAATTTATTTTAGGAATCTTGGAATTTGTGGGTTTTGCTGGTATTTGAGATGGGAACCATCATTATCTGTCAAATAATAGCATGAATTGTAACACCTCACATGTCAGCATGTGCACAGATGATGCAATCGACCGCAGTGGCTCCAAATCAAGGACAAAGGGTGAGTGCCATGTCTTGACATGGCAGCGGAGCCCAATACCAGGGCGAGGATGCTGTCAAAGACACGTTGTAGAATGGCGGCAGCTGCGGTGACGATGGCGCTGATGTATGCGTTTTGGCGGCAGCTGTCGTGTGGCGAGATGGTGGAGCACTACATGGATATGAACCTCAGCCATTGCTTCCAGCCGAGTATCCCCACTTCAAAGCAGATGCGTGTAGGCTCTGGTGGCATCAGTTCGAGTGTCGCAGGAGCAGATTGTTTTGCAGGGAGTTGGACTGCCAATGTTGATGCTTGGGTAGATGGACCCAACATGGTGTGGTGTGATGAAATTCGACACCAGGTTCAAGTCCGTGGTGATGGAAGCCGAGATGGCTTAGCAGCTTAGCAATCAATGCAGAGGCAATCAGCGTTGGTGATGGTGAGCTGGCAATCAGTGCATTCGAGCTGACAGAATGTTGCAGGGTTGAAGTCCCTGTGATGGCACAGCTTATGGATGTGAAAAGCTGGCATACTCCCAAGCAGGTATGTGGTGCTCGACAACTGAGTTTACAGTTGTTTGGCAGACGACGTGCTTTGACAAGCAGTGCATGTACTATGATGGGTTGGCATTTGTGAACAATCCCTACTACATGAATGAGGAGAATGCGAGAGTGGAGGATGGACAAGTTGATCGAGCAGACCTTCATTTTCGTGGAGAATTTGGACATCAGTGACATGTACGCGGCAATCAAGACCACCCTGAAGAGTGACACGAGGCATTTTCTTGAACTCATGTCAGTGGAAACAACGTGGATGGTTGGCAATTATGTTTGGATTGCTGACCTTGAGCCACTTGGGCCTGCGACCTGTGGAGATGGATTGAACCTTTGTCATCGCCGAGAACTCCAACTTGGACTAAGAGCCTAACGAGGTTGGAGAAACATCGGCCGCGTGAGAAAAGGGTGCAGTTCAAAATGCAACTGAAAGCATTCCTTTTCATCTGCTGGGTGCCTTGCTGCAGTGGAATGGAAGGTGCAGCTCCAGATGAACATGCGTTTTTGCAGCAGATGTGATGTCAATGTTGGCGACCGCGGCAACAAATGCGGCTTCAGCAGCAGAAAGAGCCATTGGTCTGATGTCAAGTCAGGCAACCTCCAGTGGCAGTGCACATTCAGCTGGTGATGGTGGTTTACAGGCTGCAACCAGGATCCTGAAGAATCCTGACGTAGTTCAATTTTTGCAGTTGGTTGAGTTTTGGTGACCCTCGTTTCCAAAGTTGCTTTGACCAGCTGGACAATTTGGGCCCCTGCAGATGAAATCCCAACCTATACCGAAGGCGAGCGTGAATTGAGTGTGAAGCTTTTTGCCACTTTGGAATCATACCTAAAGGGCCGTTGCCTGAGCCTCGTCAAGCGCATGGCCACATCCAAGGATGGTTTCAAACTTTGGCGTGCCCTAGTTCAAGAATAAGAACTTTCTTCGAGGCGATGTAGTCTGGCTCTTGCACAAACCCTCAGCAAATACCCGCAGTTCAGTGGCAGCAAGACCATCATGGAGCAGATCCTCTCCTACGAGCAGTTGGTTCAACAGTTTGAGGAAGCTTCTTCATCGACCTATCCCCCCTGATCTGAAGATTGCAACGCTTGTGAAATGCAGTGGACAGAAGCTGAGGGAGCACTTGCAGCTGACCATCAACGAGCACACAACGTATGCCCCGCTCAAGGAGACCATGATGAGCTATGACAAGGCGCGTCGTGCCTGGACTCAAGAGTCTGTTTTGAAGTCACTGCGAGGAACTTCATCTTCAGATCAAGGTCCACAACCAAGGGAAGTTGATCGCATCGACAACAAAGGCAAGGGCAATAGCAAGAACAAGTCCAAAGACGAGGGCAAGAGCTGGTGGAACTACGGCAGTGTTGGTTCGAGCGCTTTTGGTTGAGGACGCGGAAGAGGCAAAGGCCGTGGAAACAAAGGTAAAGGCAAAGAAAATCCAAAGGAAAATCCAAAACCAAAGGCAAAGACTATGGCAAAAAGGGGAAGAACAAAGGTAAAGTTGATTCCCAGCAGTGTAGAATTTGCTTTGAGTACGGGCATTGGTCTCGTGAATGCCCCAACCACATAGTGCAACAAGTTGTTCAAGGTGATCATGTGCAACAACCACAAGTCCCTGCTCAACATGCTGCTGGACAAGGAGGTCAACACAAGTTCAAAAATCCCTTTAATCAAGCTAGCCTTCCTCTACTACGGCTTCAACTGTTCGCAGAACCTTCACGATCCCGGTGGGTGTGCCGATGCTCACAAGTTCTTCAGAAGCCTCAGTCAGGATGGTTACTGCTGGTGATGAGATTGACAAAGATGCGGTGATCCTTGACCGCGGTTCACATGCCTCATTGTTGCCGTTGCCCTATGGCCAATGTGGAAATGATGCAGTTCGACAAGAAGTTCAACTGCGTGATTGCCAGGGATCGCATCTCAAAGTTACAGTAACTGGCTACAGAACAGTTTCTTTGATTGTACGAGATGGCGATGGTGAGCTTGAGCATGCATTCCTCATTGCAGACGTGAAGAGATGCATTCTTTCCTTGGGTCAGTTGTATCGAAATGGATGGTGCGTGAAACAGATGGACGATGGTTCAGGACCATACCTTGAAAGCCCACTTGTGAACTATGTGTTCCTGTGTTTTACCAGCGCAACAGCTTGGCAATGAAGGCAACAGTTGTCGTGTGGAGCAGATTGAAGATGAGGAGATGCTTTCACCTCATGCCTATGTCAGAGCGATTGTGGAGCTGGAAGATAGGTTTCGCAGGGCCAACCAATCGCAAGTTGCTGACGATCCCGTCATGCGATGTGTCAGCACGCACTTTGTGGATCCCAGACCAACATGGGCTGGCAACCTTTGGCTTCAGAACTACGTTGGCGCAGAGAAGGTCAACAGCTGAAGAAGATCATGGCTGGTATGTTGCTGAAGTGAGCCGCAAGCACTTGAAACTTGATGATCCTTTTGGACCCATACCAGATCTTGAGAGCTATGCGCAAGGCGAGGATGTCATCGTGCTCACGATCGTTTCTGGGCTTTGGCGAACTTTGGTCATTTGTTGGATGCTGGTGGCTTTGCATTTGCGGAGCCCTATGAACCTGAATCTCCTTATCGTGGTCAACAGGACGATGATTTGCTTGTGGAAGGTTTGGAGATCAGATCAATCTTCTTTTGGATGAAGGACGTGGTGAAACCATGGGCCGTTATATCCCTGAACATCAAGAAATTGCCCCAGCACTTCGAGAAGATGCTGCAGCTGATGCCATTGTTGTGAACGATGTACAGGTGACACCATACAGCTCAGATGAAGTTTTGCGCACAGCTGGAAGGTTCCTAGGAGTTTCAACAGCAGGTTCAAGATGCCCCTGTAAAGCCAACTTTGAGGGAGAGAAAGTTGCACAAGGTGACACACATCCCATTCGAAAAGTTGTGCATGTGTTTGCGACTTCAATCCAAAAGCAGGTCCAATCATCAAAAAGCTACACGCTCACCAGGTGAGCAGTCAAACAGCTCGAGCTCAAGGGAAGTGTCTGATGACACATCTGGAAGACAAAAGGAAAGTGAAGTTTCGAGCGGAACACCCACTCAGAGCTTGGGCAGTTATCCATGGTGCTTGGCTGCTGAACAGATATCATACTTCCTCATCGACGGGAACAACAGCCTTCATGAGCCTTCGAGGTCGGCCCTACAAAGGGCATATCTACGCTTTTGGTGAGGAAATGTTTGCTCTTGATCCTCTTCAAGCCAAGTATTCGACACAGTGGCGCAGAGGAATTTGGCTGACAAAAGATGGAGCCGATATGGATGCGGTGGCTATCTCAGAGAATGAGGTCATGTGAAGTCGAGCCATCAGAAAAGTGGCTGAGCATTGGGATGCTGAACTTGCCATGGCGCTGACAGCTGGACCACGGAACATGCGTCATGGTGTGCACACTGAGATGACATGAAGCTGGCAAAACCACCTGAAAGCCCTTTACCCTCTTGCATGTACCAGTTGGTGGCGTTGAGCCAGAGTATGACAAAAATGAGAAAGCGGCTTTGAAGTATGCCAAGGAGAACCACATGGAGGATGTGGATGACGTTGCGGATGAGGTTGAGGCATCAAAGGAAGGCTGGGCGTCAGCCAGTGTCCAATGAAGCGGAGAGTGGCAGAAGCAGAGGCGACAAAACGAGCACAACAAGAAGGTGACGATGTCCCTGCCAAGTTTGTGAAGTTTGACCCAGAAACTGCAATTTCTGAGCCGAATCCCAAGCAGCCCAGAACTACGCTCTACAGTCCTGTATATGCAGATGAAATTTCATGCAGTCCTGCAACCTCTTCAACCTCCAGACATGTGCGCAGACCTTATGACAAGGACAAGCTGGAGTGTGGTTTGGCTGAAGAACCTTGGGATTGGGAGCTATGTGAATCCCATGTCAACCAGAGTTTGCAGGTGAGAAGGTTGAGATTTCAGAAGATGAGAAGAAGCGCAGAGGATTTTTCGACGAAGGTGCTCCCAACTGTGACTGAAGATGAGTTGGCGTGGCTGGATCAAGAAGCTGTGCATGCAGAGTTGGAGCGCCTGAGGGGCCTTGATGTCATTGAGGACATGGATGGACATGGGAGAAGAGCTGGTGGTGGAAGAGTGCATGAAGTTGGACACCAGATTGGCGAGAGACTGGAGGTTCCGTGAGAATCAGTGGAAGCGTCGAGCAAGGCTGGCGGCTAGAGAAATTCGTGATGGTGACGCCAGCAACTATGAAACTTTCAGTCCAACTACACCGCTAGCAGTGGTCAAGATGCTGATTGTGATGAGCCTTTTGCATGGCCTTTCCATCGCATCAGTTGATGTTGGAGATGCTTTTCTTCAAGTCCCTCAGACTCCTCTTGTTCTCATCGAAGTTCCTCTTTGGGCGCTACATTCTGGTGAAGTTGGAAATGGCAAAAGATTTTGGGTGTTGAAACGATGTTTGCCAGGGCAACGTGTGGCAGCTTCGGAATGGAACAAGTTCTTCACCGAGATCTGTGAGAGGCACAGCTTTGAGAGCTTCCAAGGAACCATTTTCAGGCACAAGAAGCAGATGGCTTTCATTTCAGCACACATTGATGATTTGCTGATTGTGGATTCCAAGAAATTCATCAACAACCTCTACAAGGAATTGCCCAAGGAACTGTGATTGAAAATTGAAGGACTTCTTCAACCAGGTGATGATGGCAGTATCTTCTATTTGAAGAGAGAGCTGCAGTTCAACGAGAACGGCATTGATGTTTCCCCGAGTTCAAGGTACATTCCCAAACTGGCTGAATTGCTCAAGGTGTATGACCGACGTGGTCGTACTGCTCCACATCATGGATGTTTGCAGATCTATGATCCTGAAGCAACTGCAGAAGATCAGTACCTCAATGCAGAGGATGCCAAACTTTCCCGGTCTGCCTTGGGGATTTGCATCTATGTGACGTTGTGACATACAACATTCAGTTCGAGTTCTGGCGACCTACATGGCCAAGCCCACCATGACTGCAATGGGAGCTGTCAAGAAGTTGACAAGCTACTTGGTGCACACCAAGGACATGAGACTTCAGTATCCAAAGGTGGACATGCATCAAACAACTATGCAGCGATGGTATGGTGGAGGAGCGGCGTGATGCAAAGCCGTACATGCTGGAGTTGTTTAGTGACAGCGGTTGGGCTTCATGCAAAGTGAGCACAGCCATTCGCGATCACAGACTTCAATATTTTTAATGCGGCTTCGTTTGGATTCTACCAGTGCCCAGGCATTCTTCTCTCGTCTTGGACCAGCTCAACACCAAAACTTTATCCAAAGAACGTCGTGAATTCCTGATGAAGCGCATTGTACTTCAGAGCGACATGTTTGAAGCTGATGGTGATGAAGCATTTCATGGCAGAAAGAAGCAACTGGTGAAGTTGGTCAACATGATCATGGCGAGTAACCTACAAGGTTGCGATGTTGGAGACCATGACTTCAGAACAATGTCATGGAGTTGGAAATTTGCGATGGGGGTGATCTTTTCCCTTTTGCTGGTGGTGCGACTTTTCCTGAAGTTGACATCAAAGATGGAAGAGCTTGCGAAGTACAAGGAAGTTTTGAAAACGGTGCGAGAGGCAGCACACCTTGAGAGAGATGATGACCCACTTTGCTGCGATCTTTGTGGAGGAGACTTTCTTGAGGAAGATGCAGAAGAAGAGCAAACCAATGGTGATGGAGATGAGACTCTTTCAGAAGCGTCATTTGCAGTCCACGATGGAAGAGGTGGGCGATGTGGAGGAATGGACCAACATCCATTGTGGCTATGCCTACGATGCTGGAAGTGACTATCAAGAAGACGATGCAGCTGGTTTGGATACATCGAGATCAAGATCTAGGGGTTCCAACAACAATGAGCCCCAGGCAAGGACAATGCCCAAACCACGTGCAAAACAGGTTGCAGGGCGCATCGCAATGGACACTGCGTTGGACATGGCCGAGGCGATTGAGAACAGTGGTGCTGGTCCCTCATCGTCTATGGAGCCTCGAAGTTTGGGAGTTGTCAATGACTCCAACTACCTTTTGAGCAGCGTTCCTGTGGCCAACTTTTTCCACATCATGCCCGTTCCTCGAGAACCTTTGGCGCTACATGACTATCGATGGGATCTACTTGGACAAGGAATTGGCCCAGAGAATTTGCTCGTGATCAAGTGCTGAAATCTTTCCAGATCGATTCCTTTGATGGAAAACCATATGAAGCGTCAAAAACATCTACGTCTTATTCTACGACATCTTCAAATCCGTTTGGTCATGTTTCGGTAAACCTGAACGATGGGCAGAAGCAGCAGAACAAGTTCGAGCATGGGTCAATCACGATAGCGAAGGTGAGTACTTCGAGAATGCAGAAACCGATGCTGGTGATTCGATCTTTGATGATGACGATGATGATGATGATGATGATGATGATGGTGAAGGAGAAGAAGAAGAAAGGGAAGATGATGATGATGATGATGATGACGATGACGACCACGCGTCCCAGCCTGGAGAAAATTGAGATGGCAGGTCATGGGACTATAGCGATGATAACCGCGATGGGCCAGGGCGTGGTGAAGACCAAGGCCGAGTCGCGGGTGGTGATGCTTCGGGCGCTGCGGTGTGAGAGAAGCTTAGATATAGCACAGTGGCACCGAAAAGAGAAACCCGATGAGCTGACATGAGCTCTGAGGTGCCGATCTAACAGCAGAATAAAGTAGTGACATGCTGCGGTAAAGACTAAAGTAGTGAAAACACCAGACTTTAGAGGTGGGGTCAAATAATAGCATGAGCTGTAACACCTCACATGTCAGCATGTGCACCGATGATGCAATTGACCGCAGTGACTCCAAATCAAGGACAACGGGTGAGTGCCGTGTCTTGACATTATCTGAAAGGAGATGTGAGGTTTGGAATGGTTTGGAAAATGTAAGGTTGGGAGGTGATGTTTGGTATTATGGGATTTGGCCATTTTCAGGTTCCATGGTTTTTCTGAAAGTTACTCGTAATAACATGTGGAGCGATGTAGCGGCGTGCTACAAAAATTCACCAGACCCCACGATGCAGGTCTTACTGGGAGTCGCTGGAACGCATACGATTGCTGATTGCCTGACAGATTGCCTGTGCGATAGTTCTCCGCTTCAAGTGGGTTTTGCACATCGGGGAGCTGCCCGGGCCTCTGCGTGGCTTTGCGAAGAGTACGGAGAATCACTGAAGTATTTGGAGGAGGGACACCATCAGACACTATGTTGTGTGGGTTTGGGGATGCTTCACACACTTTTATAGCCTATACCATACATATTTTCCGAACCAACTTGAAACCTATGTGCTCTGTTGTGGTCAAAGTGAATTCAAGTGTCGCCTTTGCTATTTCAAACTGCGGTGAGGAGAATGGCTACGAAGTGGTTTTGGTGGGTCATTCCTTAGGTGCCGCCGTGGCAGCCGCCTGCTGTGTGCAGCTGCGTGCTGGCCCCGGTGCTTTGAGAACTGCGCGCTGCGTGTGCTACGCACCCCCCGCCACGGTGGACCCCAACCAAGCGGCGGAAGCGGCCAGTTATATCACCAGCGTGGTACATGACGATGATTGCATCCCAAGGATGTCCATCTTGTCACTGCTGGAGCTGTACAAAAGTTTGGTGTCATACAACTGGTTGCCAAGGGCCACGGGTTTGGTGGGAAAGATGCGAGCAGATCCGCAGCAGGCGTGGTTCCTGGAGCTGGGTGATAACGCCTTCAGGAAGACCTTGGAAGAGCAGCTGGAGTCCATTTGGAAGGAGCAAGCTGGGCAACTTGTGGAAGAGGTGAAGAAGTTGGAAAAACCTCGGCAAGAAGCCCATCCCTTGAGCATCCCTGGCTTCATTGTGCATCTCTACAGGTTGGGGAAATTGATACTTTCAAGACAAGCACAGCAAGTGGCTAAATTAAACGGATTTTGAGTGGGCTGGCACTCGGACTTACAATGATTTACACATGTTCACACCTTCTGAAGTGGATGAGAATATATCATAATAGATTCCTAGATATCCCTAGAAGATTCAAGTTACAACACTCAAGCAGCATTCCAAAAGCAGGTGCCCTGGTGGCTATGGAATCATCAAAGCCTTGGATAGCAACTTCCGAAGCATAGAGCTGTCCTCCAGCATGGTGACGGATCACTTCCTGTCTAACTACATCAGCTGCTCAACTGGAGAGGTGATTCTCACATGGTGGCATTTTGATGATGACTATTTGGTGGTAAACTGAGGGAGCAGTTCGGAACCAGGGGTACCTTATTAGTTACCTATTGAATATTGAAGCAATGGGGAGCCAAGGAGCTGTAAATTGTGTTGCACAACCGCCATCCGACGGTTTGAACACAACGTTGGCCGTCATCGGCCAACGCGAGCCAGCTTCCCCAGTGTTCCAGGGTGTTCCATATCGATTTGTGCAAAAGGAGGCAAACACCTCAGTTTATAGCTGTTTGATGCTGTTTGTCATTGTGACTGTTTGGACATTTGCTTTATCCATTTTTATCTCTGGTGGACCGGACATAGGACAAACCCATGTGGGATGATTGCAACTAAGCAATTCGGTATGATACATGGGATGTGATTCATATGTGTCCCCAAGCCCCATCTTTGGGTGCTTTTAACACTTGGGCGATTGCACCTTATCGCCGCTGCTTTCTGTATAAAGAATGTACATGAACTTGCATGTCGTCTTGGAGCCCCTCATTGTAGGAAAAGCCCCACATGTTATATATTTATAAACAATTGCCCACGTTTATGAGTGGATCATGATCCTTCTACCCACTCTACCCCATGTGGAGCTAGGTGCTCTGGAAACTTTGACCGCCGGCGTTTCTGCATCGCATCACAGCAAGCTGCAGCGTTTGCGAGACTTCCTGGGGGACGGCGACGATGTCGCTGAGGTGGCTGTGCAAGTGCATGAGGTGGCGAAGTCGGTGGAGGAACTGGTGTTGAAAGCCAGAGCCAAATTGCAACAACGACCAGACACCAGCTGAATGGAAAAGAAAAAATGCTGAGTTGGGAAGTGGATTGAATTTTGAGAGGAAATTGTTCGGATTGATTTATGCGCATCCCCAAGCCCGTGCGACTTGTTTGATGATAAATTTTGATTCACAACTGTGATCAGGCAGGATATCATCCACATTCTGTTCGAAGCGAACAGAAAGATGAAACTGGTCAACATGGTTTCAAAGCCTGCAACAACTTCAAGTCACTTGAGTATGAAGCTTTAAGCGCAGCATTTGAGACATAGCAGCGATGAAGTGTTGAACCCAAGAAGCACCTGCTCCGCTTGCTCAACTGAAAAGCTCAGATTGGCCTCTAACAGATCAGAGCATTATCCATTTTGGCAAAGTTGTCAATTTGGGGGTTGCCACGCACTCTTTGGGTAACAGCAACAGAGTAACAGATTACTCTGGATCAACCGTTCAACCCCCTTAGTCGGTGGTTAAAGCATGTTAGTCGGTTCCCCGGTTTCCCTGCAGATTTTCCCAACTCGGTGCACCAAGTTGGCCAGGATCGCCTTACCAAAGCCTCAGCAGATCGGTCAGATTTGATTGCGGAGGTGTTGCCCGGGGGCTTCGGAGCCAGCGACAAAGAACTTGGTTTGAAATGTGGGGATTTGACATGAATTTTATATCATGATTTATCAATGAAATCGAAATTAAATAGAAGTTTGAAGCCCTGATTGAAAAATTGTGATACTCCCTAATTTGGCTGAGAAAGTCATGTTCCCTATTTTGAAGTATATTAATCAATGACTATAACATAAGGTACACACTTTTTGACATCCGCAAATGAGGGCCATCTCTACGGCTGTTGTCAGATGAGCACGAACTGGATTCTGGTTGTAGGATGGCGACTTCTTGCAGCCTGTCTTACTGGCCCAAAGGCTTTAAAATCTGGTGAGCTACCAACGATACGATATATGATGTTATTTAATTTGATTATTGTGTTAATATGATATTATATGATAGGATTAATATGATTAATATAGTCATAATAATATTTAATAGGACATGATTTATATGACGTTCCAAAATGGCTGCACCTTGGCATCAGCACAGTTGGAAGTGGAACATCCCCACAGACCGACTACTTGACCATCGATTCATCGCTTCACGAACGGCACGCGTCCACTAAAGCGCAGCTGGGTGGCAGTTGAGGAAGTTGATATCCAGTAATTAGCATTGATCATCTGATCATGATTGCTAATTACACATGATTCAACATACTTGTATACATTGAAAGGTATCATTTACTGTAAATTTCTGTAAATGGGTTTGTCCGAAAACAGAGTACCCCAAAAATAAATTGGTTAATTGATCATTTTCCACCAAAGCAACGCCAATGAAGTACCCAATTTCTGGACATGTTGGTGGGAACCTCTGAGCACCATCAATCAAGGCCGGAGAACCAAAAAGCCTTTGCCAGCGACAGGTGCGCCCCTTGGGGCCCCTTCAAACGTTCAATAGTTCAACTCCAAATACAACGTTTGCCTCCTCAAATTCCACCATCCCCATATTTTTCCAAGGGACACTCAAATAAAAACCCAACAGGTTCAACCGAAGATGTAAAAGGTAGTCTAAAATCCGTACGAACAAACCAAACCAGCAGGCATGCCAGGCCAAACCGTTTCCCTATCGAGTTGAAGCCATGATTTGTGACGTCAACCAACCCTTGCCAGGGTCCAAGCCAACCTAGCGGCTTCGGGGAAGAACACCATGCCACAAGCTGACGTGGAGGTGAAGGTGGGAGCCCCACCTGAATTCAGGGTGGGAAAAAACGGACAAATTGGAAGCGACACTGGAGCCGTGCAAAAGGTTTTTTCCCCACATCATTGATCATCATTGTGTGGGGTTCTTGTTTTTCCGCTCACACAACTTTGTCACACCAAACTCTATCACACGCAACATTGTCACATACACGTACACCGCTTGCACTCATACATAACCCTTCCACACACAACTTTGTCACACTCAACTCTTTCACACGCAACTCTGTCACACACAGCTCCTTCACACAACTCTTCCACAAACAACTCTGTCACACACACGCACAAATCTTTCCCGCGCAACTCTTTCACACAACTCTTTCACATACAACGCTTTCCCACGCAACTCTTTCACACACAACTCTATCACACATACACACACACCTTTGTCACACACAACTCTCTCACACACACAACTCTTTCACACGCAACTCTTCCACAAACAGCTCTGTCACACACAAATTGTCCCACACAGCTCTTTCACATACAACACTTTCACACACCTCACTTTCGCATACGACTGTTGCACACAACCGGTCCTCCACCATCTCCTTTGTTGTTCTTGCCTTTCCCATCCCACTTCCACATCTGTTTGGCACTATGGGAAGAAGTTGACATGTGGTGTTATCCGGTCCTTTGATCAATTGTTTAAAGGTATGTTGTGTATTAACTGCATTATATTTTACATGTGCTAAGCCTGCCAAGCATATTTATTTCCATCATAAATCATCACAAAATGGATGAAATTTTGGTCGCCCCAGGCGCCACCGCCATTGGGCGACTCGGTCAGGCCAGCAGGGAGAATTTCGTAGGTCCATAGCAGTCCATACTGGTAATCAGATTATGAGGGATTCATAGAAAACAAACGTACAAGTTGAGAGACTTTCCAAAACGCAGACGTGTGTTTCATGGAAACACCAAAACGGTGGGTAGTGTTTTTGGGGTCACGATATTTTTGAGAAGCTTTAGGGTTTCTGATGTAGATCAGGACAAGTGGCCCGGACATGCGAAATTTTTCGGAGCTCTTTGGGACGGAGATGGGCCGACGTGCGCAGCCCATCACGGAACGACAGGAGCTGCTGGGACGAGGTGATGAGGTTTTCCATCAAAAGCTTTCATTGGTTTGGTTCAAGGGAAGATCAACAGAAAACCACGGGGTTTCCCATGAAATATATTCAAATATTGGATTTTCCTGCAAAATTTCCCTTGAACCAATCTATTGAAACTTGTGCCAGATAGATTCTTAATATTAGTTCAGTTGATCATTTGATCGTGGGTATATGTATATGATATATAATGTAACTCAACGTGTTGAATATTAAAGGGCTACGCCCTCTGCCGCCGACCCCTGGACACTGGAGGGTCATGCCTGCCTCTGTGTCGTAAGCATGAAATGAACCCTAAAGAAACCAGAAACTGACCTAAACAAACCATTTGTATGTGCGTTTGGCACTGTGCACATGCAAGCAGCATGGACCCCTGCAGGATGACACGCACAACTATGTGCTCTGACACTTTTTCATGGCTCAAGAAATAGGAGCTTTCGTCATTGGCCAGGTGTCTTGGGGACCTAAAGGGTTGCTCTAGCACTTAAGACCCATACCCGAAGCCCCCGTTCGTAACCGCAGTATGAAACTTTAAATGGCATCCTAAAGAGACTAGCTGCTTACCCTGAGATGTCCTCATACCCGTCCACCGTGTCGCAGGGCTAAAACACCATGGCAGTGAAGGACGGATTGGGCCCGCGGCCCGTATCCCAGACTGCCAAACGTCACTTTCTGAACCGACTAGAAACTAGCTCCAAACCTTGACTTTTCCTGCGTTTCTGCACTGCCAACTGCCACCCTGCTCGTGTCCTCCTGGAGCCGGCTTTCGTTCTGCACCGCTTCGGTCCAAGCTGGAGTCCAAGGACCGTGTCGCAGGGCTAAAACACCATGGCAGTGAAGGACGGATTGGGCCCGCGGCCCGTATCCCAGACTGCCAAACGTCACTTTCTGAACCGACTAGAAACTAGCTCCAAACCTTGACTTTTCCTGCGTTTCTGCACTGCCAACTGCCACCCTGCTCGTGTCCTCCTGGAGCCGGCTTTCGTTCTGCACCGCTTCGGTCCAAGCTGGAGTCCAAGGACCGTGTCGCAGGGCTAAAACACCATGGCAGTGAAGGACGGATTGGGCCCGCGGCCCGTATCCCAGACTGCCAAACGTCACTTTCTGAACCGACTAGAAACTAGCTCCAAACCTTGACTTTTCCTGCGTTTCTGCACTGCCAACTGCCACCCTGCTCGTGTCCTCCTGGAGCCGGCTTTCGTTCTGCACCGCTTCGGTCCAAGCTGGAGTCCAAGGACCGTGTCGCAGGGCTAAAACACCATGGCAGTGAAGGACGGATTGGGCCCGCGGCCCGGATCCCAGACTGCCAAACGTCACTTTCTGAACCGACTAGAAACTAGCTCCAAACCTTGACTTTTCCTGCGTTTCTGCACTGCCAACTGCCACCCTGCTCGTGTCCTCCTGGAGCCGGCTTTCGTTCTGCACCGCTTCGGTCCAAGCTGGAGTCCAAGGACCGTGTCGTAGGGCTAAAACACCATGGCAGTGAAGGACGGATTGGGCCCGTGGCCTGTATCCCAGACTGCCAAACGTCACTTTCTGAACCGACTAGAAACTAGCTCCAAACCTTGACTTTACCTGCGTTTCTGCACTGCCAACTGCCACCCTGCTCGTGTCCTCCTGGAGCAAACGTCACTTTCTGAACCGACTAGAAACTAGCTCCAAACCTTGACTTTTCCTGCGTTTCTGCACTGCCAACTGCCACCCTGCTCGTGTCCTCCTGGAGCCGGCTTCGTTCTGCACCGCTTCGGTCCAAGCTGGAGTCCAAGGACCGTGTCGCAGGGCTAAAACACCATGGCAGTGAAGGACGGATTAGGCCCGCGGCCCGTATCCCAGGCTGCCAAACGTCACTTTCTGAACCGACTAGAAACTAGCTCCAAACCTTGACTTTTCCTGCGTTTCTGCACTGCCAACTGCCACCCTGCTCGTGTCCTCCTGGAGCCGGCTTTCGTTCTGCACCGCTTCGGGCCAAGCTGGAGGCCAAGGACCGTGTCGCAGGGCTAAAACACCATGGCAGTGAAGGACCCCAGACTGCCAAACGTCACTTTCTGAACCGACTAGAAACTAGCTCCAAACCTTGACTTTTCCTGCGTTTCTGCACTGCCAACTGCCACCCTGCTCGTGTCCTCCTGGAGCCGGCTTTCGTTCTGCACCGCTTCGGTCCAAGCTGCAGTCCACGGACCGTGTCGCAGGGCTAAAACACCATGGCAGTGACGGACGGATTGGGCCCGCGGCCCGTATCCCAGACTGCCAAACGTCACTTTCTGAACCGACTAGAAACTAGCTCCAAACCTTGACTTTTCCTGCGTTTCTGCACTGCCAACTGCCACCCTGCTCGTGTCCTCCTGGAGCCGGCTTTCGTTCTGCGGCCCGTACCCAGAGTGCCAAACGTCACTTTCTGAACCGACTAGAAACTAGCTCCAAACCTTGACTTTTCCTGCGTTTCTGCACTGCCAACTGCCACCCTGCTCGTGTCCTCCTGGAGCCGGCTTTCGTTCTGCACGCTCCGGTCCAAGCTGGAGTCCAAGGACCGTGTCGCAGGGCTAAAACACCATGGCAGTGAAGGACGGATTTGGCCCGCGGCCCGTATCCCAGACTGCCAAACGTCACTTTCTGAACCGACTAGAAACTAGCTCCAAACCTTGACTTCCTGCGTTTCTGCACTGCCAACTGCCACCCTGCTCGTGTCCTCCTGGAGCCGGCCTTCGTTCTGCACCGCTTCGGTCCAAGCTGGAGTCCAAGGACCGTGTCGCAGGGCTAAAACACCATGGCAGAGAAGGACGGATTGGGCCCGCGGCCCGTATCCCAGACTGCCAAACGTCACTTTCTGAACCGACTAGAAACTAGCTCCAAACCTTGACTTTTCCTGCGTTTCTGCATTCCCAACTGCCACCCTGCTCCTGTCCTCCTGGAGCCGGCTTTCGTTCTGCACCGCTTCGGTCCAAGCTGGAGTCCAAGGACCGTGTCGCAGGGCTAAAACACCATGGCAGTGAAGGACGGATTGGGCCCGCGGCCCGTATCCCAGACTGCCAAACGTCACTTTCTGAACCGACTAGAAACTAGCTCCAAACCTTGACTTTTCCTGCGTTTCTGCACTGCCAACTGCCACCCTGCTCGTGTCCTCCTGGAGCCGGCTTTCGTTCTGCACCGCTTCGGTCCAAGCTGGAGTCCAAGGACCGTGTCGCAGGGCTAAAACACCATGGCAGTGAAGGACGGATTGGGCCCGCGGCCCGTATCCTAGACTGCCAAACGTCACTTTCTGAACCGACTAGAAACTAGCTCCAAACCTTGACTTTTCCTGCGTTTCTGCACTGCCAACTGCCACCCTGCTCGTGTCCTCCTGGAGCCGGCTTTCGTTCTGCGGCTCCAAACCTTGACTTTTCCTGCGTTTCTGCACTGCCAACTGCCACCCTGCTCGTGTCCTCCTGGAGCCGGCTTTCGTTCTGCACGCTTCGGTCCAAGCTGGAGTCCAAGGACCGTGTCGCAGGGCTAAAACACCATGGCAGTGAAGGACGGATTGGGCCCGCGGCCCGTATCCCAGACTGCCAAACGTCACTTTCTGAAACCGACTAGAAACTAGCTCCAAAACCTTGACTTTTCCCGTTTCTGCACTGCCAACTGCCACCCTGCTCGTGTCCTCCTGGAGCCGGCTTTCGTTCTGCACCGCTTCGGTCTAAGCTGGAGTCCAAGGACCGTGTCGCAGGGCTAAAATAAAACACCATGGCAGTGAAGGACGGATTGGGCCTGCGGCCCGTATCCCAGACTGCCAAACGTCACTTTCTGAACCAATTAGAAATAAGCTCCAAACCTTGACTTTTCCCGCGTTTCTGCACTGCCAACTGCCACCCTGCTCGTGTCCTCCTGGAGCCGGCTTTCGTTCTGCACCGCTTCGGTCCACGCTGGAGTCCAAGGACCGTGTCGCAGGGCTAAAACACCATGGCAGTGAAGGACGGATTGGGCCCGCGGCCCGTATCCCAGACTGCCAAACGTCACTTTCTGAACCGACTAGAAACCAGCTCCAAACCTTGACTTTTCCTGCGTTTCTGCACTGCCAACTGCCACCCTGCTCGTGTCCTCCTGGAGCTGGCTTTCGTCCTGCGGCCCGTAGCCCAGAGTGCCAAACGTTACTTTCTGAACCGATTAGAAACTAGCTCCAAACCTTGACTTTACCTGCGTTTCTGCACTGCCAACTGCCACCCTGCTCGTGTCCTCCTGGCGCCGGCTTTCGTTCTGCACCGCTTAGGTCCAAGCTGGAGTCCAAGGACCGTGTCGCAGGGCTAAAACACCATGGCAGTGAAGGACGGATTGGGCCCGCGGCCCGTATCCCAGACTGCCAAACGTCACTTTCTGAACCGACTAGAAACTAGCTCCAAACCTTGGACTTTTCCTGCGTTTCTGCACTGCCAACTGCCACCCTGCTCGTGTCCTCCTGGAGCCGGCCTTCGTTCTGCACCGCTTCGGTCCAAGCTGGAGTCCAAGGACCGTGTCGCAGGGCTAAAACACCATGGCAGTGAAGGACGGATTGGGCCCGCGGCCCGTATCCCAGACTGCCAAACGTCACTTTCTGAACCGACTAGGAACTAGCTCCAAACCTTGACTTTTCCTGCGTTTCTGCACTGCCAACTGCCACCCTGCTCGTGTCCTCCTGGAGCCGGCTTTCGTTCTGCACCGCTTCGGTCCAAGCTGGAGTCCAAGGACCGTGTCGCAGGGCTAAAACACAATGGCAGTGAAGGACGGATTGGGCCCGCGGCCCGTATCCTAGACTGCCAAACGTCACTTTCTGAACCGACTAGAAACTAGCTCCAAACCTTGACTTTTCCTGCGTTTCTGCATTGCCAACTGCCACCCTGCTCGTGTCCTTCTGGAGCCGGCTTTCGTTCTGCACAAACTCTTCGCCCCTTCTGGCATCTTGTTGCTAGTAAGGCCTCCTCTGACGCGCTCCCCCTGCTGACGGCAGGGGTCGGCGGATTTCATGAAGACGTCATGGGCCCGACAAATCACCCATTTTGCAAACTGAAACTCTTGGCATCCCATTGCTCGTCCGCCAGGTGGTTACCAGATTGGCTGCAGAGTGTGGACGTGCAATGGCGTTGGGAGCGCTCAGGGTGTATTTTAAAGCATCATGAACTGTCCGAAGACGTTCCTAAAGGTAATGAAGGATATCATTGACATGCATACTGTTTTCGTAAACAAATATATATCATTATATCATATCATATCCATACTTGTGGAGAATTGTTTATGTGGAGTTGATTCGGATATAATTATATAACTGCAACCAACAAAATGGGGTTATTCGCAGATTTGCTTTGATTTTGACCAAATTATGGGAAGCGTGACCAAGAAAACCGGGGAATACTTCACAGCAACGATTCTATGTATGTTTTTGCAATGCTGACTTTGCCTATTTTTTGATCACAGGAAAAATGGGCTGCTGCTGGGTGATGTTTCCTTACCTTGAGATGTTGAGCACGTTTGTGATGGCTTATGTTCACCTAAGTGGTTGATTGCTGGTAATCTTCTGAGTTTAAGGCCGCCATCAGTCTTTCTTCACAGTCCAGGCGTTGTTAGCACTGGGCTTTGCGTGAATTTCGTTGGAGTTCTGTGGTTGCTCGGAAAAGGACGGCCAGGGAGGTGAGTGCGCGGAAATTATACAGAGTATTAAGATGTATTAAGCATTCAGTGTTAGCAAGTGGACATGTAAGTGGTATTGCTGGCAGGATCCGGGAAAGCAGAGAGCAAGCCTCTTCAATCCAACCTCGAGGTTTTCGTCTCAGATCATTTCAGGGATTCGTCAAGTATTTCAATATGTGTGACAATTTTGATTCACGCCGCGATTTTTTCATTGCATTTTGAAGCCTGGGAAGGTTGTCAAGGCCGAAAGCAGAGCTGCTTTGAAGCAGACTTCTTGGCAAAGCACAGGCAGGAACGAAGTATACAAATTAATATAGATAAACATTAGTTGAAAAAAAGAGCCCATTGCAAATCTGCGAGTCTGTAATGTGTTCCATCATGTTCCATAAATTTGAATTTGGACTGCGACTTGCGCATCCCAAAACATCTGAAACCCATCGTGCATAATTTTGAAACCATGACGATACCGACTCTGCCCTGGAAGTCTTTGTTGCAGGAACAGCAGAGCAGTTCGAGGCCTGGGCCAGCTGCGCCACAGAACTGCCTTCCTGGAAAAACGCTTCACAGGACAGCTTCAGCTGGATGGACTTTTGCTGTTCCACGGGGAGGAGCCGACTCATGGAAATGGAAGAAAGGGATGTGGCTCGCAATTGTAATTTTTTTTGCATGCAACCACCATCAGGGGGGTGATAGCTTCGGCTTCAGGGTGTTTCATCAAAGGATAGATGGCAAACAGAAGCGAAACATGCAGTTCCATCCCCAAAATGAACAGATCCAAAATCAGTATTGCTGTGCGGCGTGATCCCAAGCAAACTACAGCCGTCGGAGAACACTGTGGCTCCAGGACGGACACTGCTAGTTCCTCAGGTTCCTCCGTGATCAGGCACAACTCATATGGAGGCGAGGGCTGGAGCTTGGGTGTCTCATGAAAAAAAGGTCTGAAGCCATAAACCTGGAAACTGATTCCCCCATGCATCTCGAGAAGTCAAGCAAGAAGGGGGAACAGATCGGTGTTTTCTGATTTTGGCTCCAGCGAAATCCACCGGTCTTTGCAACCCATCTACTCCATAGCACCATCGATGGGTTCCCTGGCAGGTGCTATTGATGAACCTGTGCGGGCAACGGCATGTTTACCAGCTGAGATCATGAGCTGATTAGCCTACGCACACCTGGCCAGGTGGTTACAAGACGACTCCACGTTGCATCCCAAATTCTGTGGCTACCGGTTGAAGGCCCATACCCATGCGGCCCATGCATACCCTGAATTCTGGGAAAGGAACAGCCCAGGAGCCAGGAATCATGCCCTGTCTCGACCGGTTCCCTTCCGAGCTGCTGGGGAACCAAAGGGGTACCCGCATACCCGACCCAAAATGATCATTTTTATATATTTTTATATGGACAATGAATGACAATGATGATGAACCGTAGGATTTGGGGGTTCCCTGGGTACCACATTTTCAGACAATCTGACCTGATTATGGCAAGCGGTCAAAGCTGACGAAATCGACCTCTAGATTTCCCGTGATTTCAGAATTTGTAGGAGTATAGCCAGGGATGTTCTTAAACATGCTAAGAAAGCATCCATGTATATCCATGTATAATCTTCGCAGATCCACCATATATATCCATATATCAGCAACCTTTCTCGGAGTTCCGGCACAGCTGAGGTTGGGGAGCAATGTGCCTCCACATTGGGAGTTCAGAAGCTCAGATTTCGGGGCATCGGCATCCTGGCACGGCTCTACCTGGATCTTTTTTGTTTGACTCGTGTGGTAAACCCAATAATAAACCATCCGTAACCATACCCAAAAGGACGGTTTATTACTGGGTTTCCCACATTAACTTTAATTATCATGGACTGGTGGCGAGGTTCATGATGCCAAATTGTGGAGATCAAGAAAGGAGCAGCTTGGAAGACTTGACCAAATGGATCCATGATATCAGCGTTTTCCAAGCCACGGCTGGAGATGAAATGATTAATATGGACATGGGCCACAGTAAATCCAAGTATTGCTCCGGCATTGTTCCGCATCAATGTCTCTCTCCCTCTATCTCTCTATCTCTCTGTCTCTCTCTCTCTCTCTATAGACATATTCGAATATATATATATAATATACTATATACATGTATATTGTATAATATATATATATGAGTTTTCTCATGGAACATGATAAAGCTTTATTTGAAATGTTTGTGCGATGAGTGAATCTTAATGAACGTGCTGACCGCTGAAACCCATTTTCCTCCGTTCATTTTCAGCTTCAAGTGAAGCAACACAGAGCGAGTGCTCTGTTGGGTCACATGTTCATGCACTTTCACGTACATACATGCAATGAACACGTGACTTACATGAACATTATTTACTTTGAAATTGTTTAGAGTTTACATTCTCTGATTAAAACAATTTCATTAATTCTTTCGTTCGGCGGTGAGCGAGCCATATGCGTCATCGCTCGGTGGTGCTGCGAGGGCGCACTGCATTTTCTTCGCCGATCGAGTTGCTCCCGACATCCCCATCTTCAAGCACCTGCTGGTGGTTTTGCTGGGCCTATCTTCTAGGACTTCTCACTGCCGTCGTGCTCTTTCTTTGGCTCATTTCGGAGTCATGACAGATATGGATGTGCCCCTGATTGCACCAGACCAAGATCGCATCCATCCACCGGGCCCTTTACAATTCACCATTGTCTTCAGCTTGGACCAGTCCATCGATGACAGAGAAGCCCGTGTGGAGGACACCTTCGAACACTTGGGTCTGCGACGTAAACAGTTAGTGGACATCCTCTATGCAGTGAAAGTCCCGTTGTCCCAGCTCCTTTGCCCTCCGATCGCTCATCTCCACCGCTCGTTGATTGACTACAACGAGGAGATCGATCCTGAGGGCCGATACTTTTTCGTCATTTTCTCCCGCCGAGTTTTTGACCTCATCCAGGATTCCACTGCAGGCAGCGACATGACGATTGATTTAGTTCAGGATGGATCAGACCCTGAACTCACTCGTCACGTCCCCTTGACCATCGAGATGTACCCAGCCACGGACCTCGTGGACATCTTCGGCCGCCTCTTCGATCAAGTTCAAAGACAAGAAGAGCGGCTGGGCCGATTACAAGAGGAGCATGCACGCCTCCGCAATCGCATTGGCTTGGTGACGGAGTACCTCGCCACCCAAGACGAGCATGCCGCTCGCACCTTTGGATTGCTCCTGCATGGCTGACTTCCTCTTCGACCTGGCCTGCCACGACACAACCGCTGGCATGACGGAGTTTTTCAATGTCGATTTTTGGGCACGCCTATCGACAAATCCAGACAGGACAAAATCAAATGCTCTTCCGGGGGTGTCTCGCAGCATTTGTTATGCATGAATATTTCGTTGTTTGTATACATGATACCAGGGTATAATGTACTTCGTCACATGTTACATGTCATGCACGAATACCATGTCACCGCGTGTCACCAGTTCATCAGAGTTGCAACTCAATGACGTACACCTTCAACCCTGGAGACTGGCTCAAGTGAGTCCGACAGTCGCCATTTTGGGGTGGGGTGACCCGTGGTCAAGTGACCTTCTGGTTTGGAGCCCAGTCACTTTGAGGTGTACACTGAATTGGATAGGTTGGAGACAAGTGTCCCATTCCGTCCATTTCATGACGTCAGTGAATACATGTGGCGTTTAGAAATCTCTTTCAATCAGGTGCAGAGTTGCATCCTGTGTGCGGCACTGAGTCGCCTGGTTTCAAGTGAAACTCTTTGCCAACCGTCAGTGATGAGACGGTGTGACCAAGTGGACTCTCAGGTGAGAGGTGTGCGGGGAGCCTTTTTCCTGACGGCGCCAACCTCAGCTCGAGTGAGCTGATTACATTTGGCAACTTGAACTGTGTGAGTACGCAGGGTCCAACCCCCCACAATGGAATGAACTCGTTTCCTTTCCTTTTCTTTCAGATAGCCAAGTGGTTTTTCGAGGCGCTGTATGGAGGTTGACTCCAAAACTGTGTGCCTGATCTCAGTTGCCTTTTGTTGCATGAGTTTTGTTTCAATGAGTTCATGACCGAGTGGTCTGCGTTCAAGTGTCCCCAGTGACCGACTTGTCATTTCGCTCTAGGTGCACGATCGAGTCCAAGGAAAGACGTGCCTGAGCAAGACACATCCATGTCACGATTTAAAAGAGCCCGGACAGGTGACCGTGATGACGGATCCGTTGACTCAGAAGCAGTCATGCTCCCTCTTCCTGAGGGCTTGGACGCAGATGGTGGAACTGGTTTTGAGAGAGATTCATCCGTCAGTCCTTCCGTAGTGAACACGCCGGATGCACTTGATGATCACTATCAAGCACCTCCCTTTGAGCAGCCGTCATCCAGCCGCGTAGGTTCTCTAGATCCGAAGGATATGAATAACCTTAGGTCGATGATCGAGGATAGCTGTCTTAGAGCTGAGCCTGCTTTCAAATTCGTAATGCCTTGGGATAGACCCGGACTCCGCAACATTTTTCACCAGAAAAATGGGTTCGTAGTTCCAAAACCAGTTATGCAGCTGATTGAGCCCACTGTCAGCTCTGCATCAGATGAACCTTGTAGAGCCGTGCTTCCCAGTGAGCGTGTCAAGAGAGGGTGCTACAGTGATGTGATTAATTTCAAGCTTGACCTTTCCGAAGCTGAAGTCGAGGAGAAAGCCACACGACAAGCCCTGGAAAAATGGTACGTTGTTTTTGCTTCGGGTGTAGAAGCCTGGCCAAGGGGCTTCGATCTGCATGATGCCGTGCTACACAAAAAGCTTGGAGACATGAAACTTGTTTTCGGCAACCGCAGCATCAACACGGTACTCAGAAGGGGCCAATCTATGATCCAATTCGTGACTTGGTACAGAACGAAGTTCTTCAACCTGTGCCCGTTTCCCTTGACTCGTGAGACCGTTGAAGAATACATTCAATTTTTGCATGAGACGAGCCGGTCTGCATCCGTATTTCATGGTTTTGTAGAAGCATTGAGTTTTTGTGAGCATGTCCTTGGAATCCGTGTGAGTCTGGAAGGTGGACCCCTGATCACGAACAAAGTGCATCGCATCCTGGAGATCAAAGACTTTGAACGCAAGGAGAAAACTCAAGCCAGACTTCTCACCGTGTCAGAAGTGGAATTCCTCGAAGTCAGCATGATCAATGAAAAGATGGACTTGACCGATAGGGTTGCCTGTGGATGCATACTGTTCTGTCTTTACAGCCGAAGCAGATGGTCCGACCTCAGAAGAGTCTACGGATTTGTCCAAGATGTTGTGGAGAAAGATGGAAAGATATCAGGCTACATCGAATGTAGGACCAGGTCGCACAAAACAGCCAGGTTGGTATCTCGGAGTGGCGCAGCTATGCCATTGGTTGCACCGGTGTGGGGAGTCACATCTCCCCCATGGGGTCTGTCCTTGGCGAGATTGCTCAAGGCCTCAGATAGACCACTTGAAACCATCGATCATCAGCCTCTTCTCATGGCACCCAAACCTGATGGGACATGGTCCAGCAGAGCCGTCACCACAACCGAGTCTGGAAAGTGGCTGAGGAAACTACTTAGCCAACTTGATCCCGAAGCAGAGTATGTTACAGCTCACTCCCTCAAGAGCACGCCTTTGTCCTGGTGCGCCAAGTGGGGACTTGATCCGGAGGTCCGTCTTATCTTGGGGCATCACAAAACAGGCAAAGCTTCAGCCGAGTGCTACGGCAGGGACAATTTGGCCAAGCCTCTCCGGGACTTTGACTTAGTTTTGCAGCAAATTCGAACCAAAGCATTCGTTCCTGATGCGACCCGATCTGGAATGATTCAGCCACCGGAAAGGGAAGACCCCTTGGAAAAATTTGCAGTCCCTGAAGAACAGAAGGAGGTCTCTTCCGATGACTCCTCCTCAGAGGACTCCTCCGATGACCCTGACAGCAGTGACTCCGTCGAAGCTGACGCTTTTGACACCGTCGCTGCACCAAGCTCTTGGGATCCAGACACAGTGATGTACCGAAACAAGAAAAGCAAGATAGTCCATGTGGTAGCCGTAGGAGGCGCGCAGACCTTCAGCTGCGGAATCCGAATAGGTGAAGACTTCGAAAAGATTTCCGAATCACAGTTTTTGGAACTCCGAAAATGCATGCGTTGTGCCCAGGCCAGACCGCTTAAGACTGCAGGACAGTTGGCATCCGCACTTGAGAAACTGCACAGAGAAAGAAAAGGGGGGTGCGCCTGAGCCTTTTGATCAGTGTGGGTTCATGTCATGACATTTCAGTGAAAAACTAAAGTTGGTTAATTGAAACGATCTCTAGATGAAACGTTTGAGACTCTCAGACAACTTGTCAAAGTCACCCCCAAGTGGGGATCCACTCTCAAGTGAGAAAACCAACCTGTGTCATACTGCATTAGACGGACGGTGTGGAGTCACGCCTTCAGAGCAGTTTTTGCACAGTGATTCTGATGTCTGCTCTCCGCAGGAAGTTTTCTGGCCAAGTGGCCACACGGTCAATGTGCATGGGCACGAATTTCATCATGCATCCAAGTTAATAGGCATGTCTCAGTGAGTTCACAAGCAACATACATTTTCAAAAAAGGAGGGGTCATGTGTTTCAAGTCATCATGAATTTTCAAGAAGCAAAACACCAACCGTTGCCAAACCATGGGCACGCTGTTGGAATCAAAAGAAGCCCTGAAGTCCAGGGGCCTGGAAGTGAACCTCACGGCTGAGGAAATTGACGCTCTCATAGATAACCGAGTGGACTCTCTCGCAAGGTTAGCTTTCGCATGTTGTCCACCTGGAGAAGCCCCGACGAATGACCAGATTGATGCTCTATTCGCTGGCCGAACGGCACCAAACCAGGGGACATACTCTTCGATCAAAAGACTCATCTTCGAAGCCCAAACCCTGCTGTCAGCGGAGCTCCAGAATAAGGTCCACAAAACAGAAGAACAAGTGAAGTCCAAGATGGCCCCTGCAGAAAGGGACAACAGAATCAAAGAGCAGCGCACCAGACTAGAAGGCCTGAGGCTGAAAGGTGAAGAGGAATGCAGCCACTCATCCTACGACCTGGTGCTGAACATGCTGGAGAAGGACTGCCTCATCTATCTCGGCCCTGAGAAGTTCCCAGCCAGAAGACAGGAGCTGATGCAGAAGAAGCCGGGCAGGGAAATTTCCATCGATCAATCGGCCCTCATTGTCAAAGATCGACAACAGGAACTTCTGTGTAACACAACCACTGAGCTCGAGACGGTGAACGCGCTCAAAAGAAGGGCCTTGGCCTTCGACCTTGTCAAGTGCTGTGGATTCCATGCTATGAACACCTATCATGCCGAGCTCTTCGAGCACATCCACCAAGCACCTCCACCAGGGTACGCAACAGTCAGCCTGGCACAGATCCTACGTGCAGATCGCGCAGCCTGGGTCATGATCGCAGAGAAAATCAGCAGTTTGAAACGAGACCCACAAGGAGCATTGCCTTTGGAAACAGAAATCCAGAAGGCCCTTTCGCATCCATCAGTTTCCTTTCATCTCCTGCCCCTGCCTGGCAAGACATCCAACAATCCGAAGCCCGACAAGCCGGCACCGAAGAGGACGCGCTCTCGAACACCTCCAAGGGCATCACCGTCCAAGCCTGAAGCTGCCAATCCGAAGGGGCAAGGAAAGTGCAAAGGGCGCAAAGGCAACAAAAAGGGTAGGGGGCCGAATGTCCCAAAGGGGCTGATCAACAAGTCACTCCAGACGGATTCAGGAGAAAGGCTATGCTGGGCTTTCAATTTAGAGAAGGGTTGCACTGACGCACCTCCTGGAGGAAAATGCGCACGTGGATTGCACCTGTGCACTGAGCCGGGGTGCCAAAAGCCCCACAGCATGCAGAACCATAAGTGACAAACAATGGCGGGTGCACCAATTTTGCCCGACTCCACAGATGCCTTTCGAAGCAAAAGCAAAACCCAGAGTCCGGGGCGCCCGCTCCATGAGTTTTACTGTATAGAAATCTATGCCGGCACTGGCAGACTAACAGCCGCCATCCGTGCCATGGGAATGAAGAACAGCTTTGGAGTCGATTGCAAGTTGCCTTCTCAGTTACGCAGTCCCATAATTAAGTACGATTTGCTCAAACCAAGCCATGTGAAGCTTGTACAGGATCTCATCGCTTCACCACAATGTTTATATGTCCATCTCGCGCCACCCTGTGGCACCAGTTCCAGAGCTAGACTGATCCAAAGACGCGGTCGATGGAATCCTCCCATTGTTCGCACAGATGCACACCCAGACGGAATCCCGAACCTAGACGGGACCTTGAAAGCACGTGTGGATGCGGCTAACGCCTTGTATCAAGTCACATGTGACTTGATCAAGTGTTGCATCAAGCACAATACCTACTTTTCCGTTGAAAATCCAGGAAGATCATTTATGTGGCAAACAACACCATTCGTGGCACTCATGCAAGAACTCCCCACATTGCAAGAGGTCTCGTTCCATCATTGTAGGTATGGCAGTTCGAGACGCAAACTCACCAAACTCTTGCATAATATCCCTGCCTTTGCCACTTTGGAAGCCTTTTGCCAAAATGATCACGAGCACGAACCGTGGGGCCAAAATGCAGATGTCGGATGGAGAACAGCGGAAGAAACAGCTTATCCATGGGATCTCTGTCGAGCCCTTGCGGCCAAACTCATAACCCAATTAAGTGAGGACGGGATCACATGTACACCACCTGTTTTTGCCCTCCAAGAAGCCAATTTGCAAACCCTGCGGGCGTCAACCGATATTCAGCCCCGGAAAAACTTGCCGCCCATGGTGTCCGAGTTCACTCACATCATGCCACACCCAGCCAATCAAGCCCTGCCTGCTCAAGCCCGCAAACTCAGCACTCCTTCTCCTGGGGGAATTGGCGCGAGTGCATCCGACCGTCAGTCCATAACCATTGGAATTCATAGGTCACCAGATGAATTGTGAAGGACGCAACAGCGATTGGGCACCCCACTAGGCTCCATTCTATGTTCCCAGATGAGATAGCTGATGTAGTCCATAAATATGTAAGTTTAGGACCCTCTAACATCGCTCTGCATAGAACCGAAGAGATAAAGCGTTGGGTGTGCCTCTCTGAGGAAATGCAGCAAGCCGAAAGGGACATTAGGTCCAACATGTCCGCTAGACGCCAGAAGATTTTAGAAAGGAAAAAGCTGGCCCTTCTTAAAAGTTTGCTTCTGGAAACGGGACATAGTGACCTCAACCTGATAGATGACTTAGCTGCCGGATTTGACCTCACTGGCGCCTTGCCAGAATCCAATGCGTTTTCTAAAAGGGTCCGACCCGCTGCCATTTCTTGTGAAGACCTGAGGAGTGTGGCCAACCTATGCAAAAAAGGGGTGTTGGAGATGACCCAGTCTTCAGGCGACACTGAACTTGACGAGCAGCTCTACGCTGCCACCTTAAAAGAAGTCAAAAAGGGTTTCTTAGAAGGGCCTTTGGACCCGGCGTCTCTCCCTGCAGGCGCCACCTTGACTAGGAGATTCGGGGTCAAGCAAAAATCTAAGACCAGACCCATTGATGACTATAAGGCATCCTTCGTCAACAGCAGCGTCTCCCAGACAGAGACTGCTTCGGTGCACACCGTTGACCACATAGCTGCAATGGTTGCATGCTTGATGCGCGCGGGGGAATCCCGAGGCTGCACGTTGGAGTTGTCGGCCAAGGCATGGGACCTGGCCGACGCCTACAAGCAAGTGCCTTTGAGTGATGAAGCCTTCGCTATGGATTCATTTCTGGTAGTCTACAGCCCGCAGTCAAAAGGGCCTGAGATATATCAACAAAGAGTGCTACCATTTGGATCCGTGGCCTCAGTGACTGCATTTCTCCGACTGGCATTGGCACTGTGGAAGGTTGGGACAAAATTATTGGGTCTGCTGTGGACGTCATATTTTGACGACTTTTTCTCCCTCTCTGAGGTGAAAACATCTAGGCACACCGACTTGGTGATCTCGTCCTTTTTCGCCATATTAGGATGGGATCTTTCCAGCGACAAGCTCCTGTGGTTCGACTCTGTGTGCAAGGTGCTTGGCGTCAAGTTTGACCTCAAAATGTCAGGGGACGGGATCTCCTTGGTCCTCAACACTGAGGACAGAGTGTCTGAACTCTGCGAGAGCCTTGATGAAATTTTGGGCACCAGACGCCTCAAGAGAGCTGAGGGTGAGAAACTGAGGGGCAGACTCATTTTCGCCGCGGGCCAACTCTTCGGTCGGTTCGTCAGGAACCAGATTAGGCTTCTCTCAGACCACATCCGTTCGGGCAGGGCCAACCTGACTGATGAGACGGTAAGAGCCTTGCAAGGGATCAGACACCACCTTCATGCAAATGTGCCAAGAAAAATAGTCGGGTCCTCATGCGATCACGTTCACATTTACGTGGACGCCTCGTTTGACGATGGGAGCTACTCTGGCATAGGAGGAGTCATTTACGACAGCACAGGGAAGCCACTGTCTTTCTTTAGCGAAGAGCTGAGCCAAGACTTTGTTGATGTTGTGCGCTGTGACGGTCAAGTGACCATCATCCAGGAGCTCGAAATGCTCGCACTCCTCGTAGCCATTTGCCTTTGGTGTCCGGAGTTTAAAAACTATAGGGTTGTTGCGTTCACAGACAGTGAATCAGTGAGAGGTGCGTTCCTCAAAACCTGGTCCAACAACCGTCAAAATAGTCACCTCTTGACTCACATCTTCCAAGTGGAAGAAGAGTGTCTCTGTCAGATTTGGCTGGAGCGAGTGCCTAGTCAATCAAACCCCTCCGACCATCTTTCCAGGGAGAAGGTCAGGAAGTGGATGGGGTTGGAAAGCCAAGAGGTTGATTACAAAGAGCTTTGGAACCGTGCGGCCCTCCTCAGGGGTAAGTGCGCGGCCTGACACCAAGCATGATCCCCGGCGACAAAAAGGAAGCTGCCGTGCTGCTTCTGTTGATCCAAGGCTTGAAGGTACAAGGTCTGAATTCTTCTTGCAGAGGTCAGCCGAGGACAAACAGACCAAATAAGAGTTTTCTCATGGAACATGATAAAGCTTTATTTGAAATGTTTGTGCGATGAGTGAATCTTAATGAACGTGCTGACCGCTGAAACCCATTTTCCTCCGTTCATTTTCAGCTTCAAGTGAAGCAACACAGAGCGAGTGCTCTGTTAGGTCACATGTTCATGCACTTTCACGTACATACATGCAATGAACACGTGACTTACATGAACATTATTTACTTTGAAATTGTTTAGAGTTTACATTCTCTGATTAAAACAATTTCATTAATTCTTTCATCCCGATACCACTCCCACCCGGAGCAAGTGCTCTGTTTCGACGTGATGGACGTTCAGCCAGACATTGACCTAATCTCCATCTTCGATGCCGTCTTTGTCGTCCAAAGTCACATCAACAAGCTGGACATGTTAGAAGAGCTCATCACCGAAGTCAGCGACTACGTGGAAGACCAAGCATTGCCACAACCGACTATGCAACTTCAGGCAATGCATCAGCAGGTCGGCCAAGTCAGACTCCAACTTCGCTTCCTCTTGCAATTGAAGCTCGTGGAGGCATGCCGACGCCTGCGACAACACATCGACCAGAACGGCCGAATGCCTCTTCTGAACTTACAATTTCGCTGAACTTCAGCCGACGCTACTGGCGTTTTGTGAGGTAAGGCAATTCTTTTGGCCTACCCTAAGCCAGTGCGCGGCCTGACACCAAGCATGATCCCCGGCGACAAAAAGGAAGCTGCCGTGCTGCTTCTGTTGATCCAAGGCTTGAAGGTACAAGGTCTGAATTCTTCTTGCAGAGGTCAGCCGAGGACAAACAGACCAAATAAATATATAATATATATATATATATATTATAATATAATATAATATAATATCATTATAATATATTATAATATAATGTAATATAATATAATACAATATAATGTAATATAATATAATATAATATAATAATAACAATAATAATAATATAATAATAATATTAATTTAATATAACAATAATAATAATAACAATAATAATAATAATATAATAATAATATAATAATAATATAATAATATTAATATAATATAACATAACATAATATAATATAATATAATAATAATATTAATATAATATAATAATAATATTAATATAATATAACACAACATAATATAATATAATATAATGTAATGTAATATAATGTAATGTAATATAATATAATATAATATACATGTATATATTTTTGACACACACGCATTTCCATTTTTATACTTCATCCCTTGGCGGTTTCCCCACCGCCTGGCAGGATGAAGTGCGGGGAAGTGCGCGAGCGAGTACGACATGTGAGAGGGGCAAAGGATTCGGGTTGCTGACCTGGGCACAGCTGAATTGGTGTTGAACTTTTTTCAGGTCCCCACTTTGCACTGGCAGTGTTAGTTTTTAGTGGTCCCTGACATTTAAAAACATTCGCATTCGCATCCTGGAAATCAAAGATGAATACTTGATCCACCAAACTCACGCGGCTTACCAGCCCGCTTTTGCTGTTTCCTATTGAAAGTCCAGGATCCCATCACCATGCTTCGTTTTCTTCGTGCACGACAAGGGAGCTTGAAGCTCAGACCTGTTATAGCACCCGAGAAAGATGTTTTTTTTGCAGATAATACTCCATGCAGTTGTTTCTGATCAACGAGTTTGATCTACAGCCAGTTCTGGAAGACCTTGGTGACTCCCAGTAATCAAATTCAGCCCCATTTCGCTCCGGCAAGGTGTTGATGCAGCCGCCAAGATGTACGAAAGTGCTATGAGGTCCAAAGAAATACTCAGCCCCTTATGTATTGGAAGGAACAAAACAGCTTGGGTTTCTGGGTTCTGAATCTTTGGCCACAAGCATTTGGTGTGTTGTGAGTTTCTTGCTTTCCAGGTGGCGCGAAGGAACTGGTTACGAACTGGGTTTCCGGCTGAATAACAAGGACGATTGGTCTTGGCCTTAGGTGGAGACAACACTACTCTGCCTGAAATTCTACAGGGTTGCAGCAGTTGGGAGCAGCCATGTGCGTCAATCTTCTGAAAGTCTTCATTTTGTTGGGTGCTGTGGGTGTGGGTCAAATATGATTACCCTATGGCCCCAAGAATCGAAGGATCATTTTGGCAGCAATGTTTGACCCAAGTTGAAGTTTACCGTCTTAGGCTGCACCGGAAAGTCGACAGTTGCTGGCCTCCAACAGCATTGTTGGGGAAGGCAGCACCTGATGTGTTGGGCATGTGCTGGCATGAAACATCTAAGCTCTGGGAGTTTTCATGAACTTGGAAACTTGTTTGCAAACATTTCGACAATTGCTATTTTGTGGCAACCTGGAAAACACCAACCATGGATGATGGTTATTTGGGACTCCGCCAGAAGTGGCTGAGATCTAATTCGAGATTTATTCTTGACTTTCCAGACTATCAGTCCAGCACAAATGGACATGAGATGACATGAGATGACATGAGAAACCGGAGGGGCCACTTCCTAAGTGGGATTCGCATGAAACACCAGGGCAGTCTCATACTGCTGACTTTTCTTTTTGGTATCTCAAGATCCAGCAGTTTACCACAGATTTTGCCCATGCTTCGAGGATTATGATGGTGATCCTATCTACTGGAACAGGCGACGCCAGAGTCAGCATGGGGATTGGGTGAATGTCCTGCTTAGAAAAGACGTGGTCCAACATTTTCGAAACTCTAAACTCCATGATATGGATCCAGCATTGGAGTGGGAAGCCAGGATGGGCCTGGGCAACTTGGAGTTCCTGGAGAAGGCAACTTGGAGTTCCTTAGACGTCCAAAACTGTGAATTCTTAAAACGGAAACCTAGTAGTTTTACCCCAAATCAAGGCCACATAAGGACATGTGGAAGTTTTGGGAGTACAATGTCCAAACAGCTTCCCTATCGAATCCAAATACCAATCACTCATGGACATGCTGTCATCTTGACATGCATCGTCACTTTGCCAGGCACCAACGGAATTCCTGATCCAACATGAGGTCTACACCATCACTCGTCTCATGCAGGTTGGGTTCCTGTGGGCACCGATGAGGCTATGGGGATGCTCATCACCTGTCAGGCCATGGAAGAAGCTTCCAGGCTCAACAACAGGCCTGTCGCGGCCTCGGTGGTGTGTCGAATGCCCCGTGTGTCAACGTTTTTTTTTATTAAATAGGTTTGATTGGTTACAGTTACAGTATCTGATTGCTGATTTGAATTGGTTTTCACTTTTTTGGCCTCAACTGATGTTTCTGCCCTCTTTTGTCACACCAACACCTGGTGGACTCACATCTCCCCGCACTGAGATTATGCACTTCACTGTGGTGGCGGACCTGGGTGAAATGAGCGGCTGAGCTGCAGTTGAATCCATGGTTTACCAGGGTGAGCAATGGCCATCAGTTGGATCATCAGATTTTGTGGCTGATTTCTTATGATTTCTGTGAGGTTGGCGAAGCTTCAACAACCTCAAGGGTATCATGAAGCAACTTGGAAGACATAGTGACACAGCATTCTTTGTGATCTTTGTGACTTGTGGCATCTTGTGGCCCTATCTTTGGCAGCTGAAAGTTCCAAGACATCCAAGGTACAAAGTTTGCGTCAGGACATTGGAAGACAATTTTCCAGAGTTAGTGAAGCGCATTGTCCTTACCTCAGCACCGCATGCCTGAGTCTCCAGAGGCCTTGATCTCGAGCATGGCTGATGACAAATACCCTTCAAATCAACGATTTTAGAGTATATACGCCCATGGTAACAACGGTGCAATAACCTACTTGCTGGACGATTATCCCGGATTCTTCGAAGTGTCAGAGGCTTGATGCAGTGATGTTGCTTGATTTGTCGAACTTGAAGCATTCAGCTTTGGCCGCCATTGCAGGTGCTAAACGGTAGGTACGGTATGGAGCAATATTCAACACCATCAAAAAGTGAGTGGAATGAAACTAGGATATCCCATCCATTTCGTGCTCGGATTAACACGAAAGCTAGCTTCTGAGATGAAGCCGCTCTTGCTTTAGCAAGATTGATGACGGGGCAGGAACCGCCAATGATGTTATAATTTAACATTTACACCCCTGGCTGGGCAAGTCTCGCCTTCAGGGCCTGGAGAAGATATTTCTCCATCTCGCACAATATGGACAAATCTTTCGAAGAACCTTCCTCAAGGGTAACTAGCTCCACCTTGTCCTCAGGGTGGAGGCATCATCGTGATCATGCTGGTTCACCATAGTTTCAAATGCACTGACCCCACCACCAGAGTCCGGGGCTGTGTCATTATGGACCTCTGAGTTCATGCGAGAGTCGAGTGATCATGCTGGTTATATATCTGGTTACCATGGTCAAGATGGTCATCATGGTTATAGTTATCAACGTCATCACCATGATCGTCACCATTCACCCTCATCATCCCCGTCATCGTTTTCGTCGTCATCATCATAAACAATAAATCAGTCAAGTCAAGTTAAGTCAAGTCAAATGAATACACGTCAATCAATCAATCAAAATTATCCTCTCCTTTGTCCTTTTCTTTCTTCATTTTCTTTTTTTCCTCCTCTTCCCCCTCTTCCTCCCTCCTTCTCACCGTCATTTTTCTCCTAATCGTCATGATAGGATTATTTTCCACCATCAACTGCGATTGCCTTCGTCTTTTATACTAATGTTCTTTTCTACAGTGCTCATTCGTATCACTATGATTGCTTGATACACTGAAACGCCGGCCGAAATTTATTTGTTGTCCCTGCCCCATGACCTCAGATTGCGATTCGGGTCCCGAAGTTGGCCTACACACTCTGGAACATCGCCTCCAATTTTTTCGTGCTCCCGGCCTCCTTTAAGCCGCGATGAAGCGTTGCAGTCGTCTACCAACACCTTGGTTCCCTTGGTTACCCTTGGCAGGACGAAGGGACTCGAGCCAAGATTCAGATCGCGGATGGAAAACATACCATGAAAGCACCTTGGTTGAGAGATTGGATCAGTTTCAGCTGTTTTTTTGTGGGTCTTGGGTTGTCCACTTGTCCATGTTTCGGTTCTCCAACCCGCAGACGAATGGAGCCTTGCTTCCCACCAGCTATGAAAACGCTGAAGGTTCTCAGCGAGTTCATGGATCCCAAGTGGGTGCCAGAGGCTGGTGAATGCAGCCATTCAGCAGGCAGCTGGCACCTCACAGTTTTGCCAGGCCCTGGGTGGGACGCATCGCATTGGCAATAGTTTCGAGTCTCAGATCTGGCAGCGAAGCTTTGACCTGCGGAAGTGCTTCAAATTCAAAGCGGATGAGCTTCCATTTGGTCATCTCAGCCCAATGGTTCAATATAAGATTTGTTGGACTTTTATGATTTATGACTGTTTGTGCAAATAATACGACAGGATCCCAAAGCAGCACGCGAAGTCATTTTTTGTCCAGAAGCTTGTGTCCTATATTTTCATCTATTTTCTATTTTCTATATTTTTCAGTACGTACAGTTCAGTACTGTCCATGTATTCAAGGTTACGTGGCTAGGAGTGTAAGCCGTATTTATTATATATATATATACACGTATATGTACATATATATATATACATATATATATATACGTATTGTGATTATCAATCATGCTGCTTCACTTCAACACCCAACCGTTTCCTCCAACCAATCTGTCAGGCATGCCTCCGTCAAGGCATTTGTGGCTCAGGGAGCCGGAAGCGGGCTGGGTGGGATAACCATTTGCCTCGGAGCCGTGGTGCGCTTTCTGGTGACAGGGTCACCCAACTGGATTTTCTCTGGACGTGGCCGTCCTTTTGACATTTCAAGCTTGGTGTAGCCCTGTTGGAAGAGAAACCGACCTTTTGCAGGCAAAACAGAAGAGCGGATTTACCAAAGCTGTGTGTGTGGAGATCTTTAGGTGAGGACATCTTATTTCTTCAGAAGCTTGGGACATCTGTCATCTGTTTCTGCAGTGGGAGCGTTGCCAATTACATTGGTAGCGGAGCTCCGGCTCCAGCTCCAACGCCGAAGTTCCAGGGGATTCGATTTGGAGGATGATGACATCCACGTCAGATGGGGACAGTCAGAGCAGTACGGGTGTGAACTCGCAATTGGCTTCACTGGTACCGAGTTTTGATCCGTCAAAGGATGACTTGCAGACATACCAGAAACGTGTTCAGCTGGTGTTAGCAGCATGGCCAAAGAATAGAGTAACTGAACTGGTGATGAGGTTAATCCTTAACTGCCAGGGGAGTGCTTTTGACAAACTGCAAATTCACCAAGCAGAACTGATGGAGAATGATGAGAAGGCGGTCCAACGAATCATCACTCTGTTAGGAGGTCACTGGGGAAAGATCGGACTGGAAAAGCAGTACGAAGATGCTGAAACAGCCTTGTTTCATACCTCACAACATGCTGATGAATCAAATGATTCGTACATTGCTCGAGCAGATGTGACTTGGAGCAAGCTTCTCACTCGCAAACTGGAGTTGAAAGATCTGCAAGCATACATACTGTTGCGCGGCTCCACCTTGAGTCCAGAAGAGAAGAAGAAAGTAATCCTTGAGTCGGACCAGTCTTTAGAAGGTCAATTGACCGTGTCAAAGGTAACTGAGGCAATCCGAATTCTGGGAGCGACCTTCTTCAATGACATGACTGGCAACAAGAGGGCCGCCAAGACCAAGGTGTATGGATCTACAACTTTGGTGGCAGAAGATGAAGAGGACGAGGTCAACATGACCGCCAATGATGAGATGGGCGAAGATGAGGTGCTAGATTGATTGCCTGTTGAGTGAAGGTGATCCTGATGCGACTCTGATAACGGACTTTGAAAATGCTGTGTCAGAAATAGTTCAGGAAGACAGCGCATTGGCCGCTGCATACACCTCCTACCAAGATGCCCGTCGACGTTTGGCTGACAAGTCCAAGTTTCGTGGATTCTGGCCAGTGTCACGTGAGTCCAGTGGATCTGCCAAGGGGAAGTCTTTTGGAAACAAAGGAGGTGGTAAAAACAAAGGGTCTTGGCCAAACAAGCCTCGCCGCAGTTTGCAAGATCGTATCCTGAATTCCACCTGCCGGATTTGCAATAGACGTGGTCACTGGAAAGCTGAATGTCCGTTCCGCCAATCTGGAACACCTGCTCAGTCCTCAACCAATGCAGCCGCCAGTTCCTTGCCCACCACTACCGCTGTGGTCGGAGATGCAGCCGATGATATCCTGCCCATGGAGTTTGTGCAGCTGTCTGAGATGTCATTTCCTTCAGATGATCCGAATGAGCCTTTGTCTAGTTTTTTGTCGAATGTCGTGAGTCAAGGGGTGTGCAGTCCTTGTTACATGGGGTTGATTCATGGGGAATCACTTGGGAGTAATAAGGTTAAGCAATATGATCATCCCACTGCTCATGAACGGTTGAAAGTCTGGTTAGCCAAGAAGAATGAGCTACCACCATTGCCACACAGCCTGCTTAGGAAGCATGAGAATCCAAAAGGATTCTGCCACCTGAGAGCGCACGAGAGCCTGCCGGAGTTTCAAGCCTGCGCACAAGACCTGTGGAAGATCCCAAGAAAGCATCCGAACAGTGCCTAGGTCATGAAAGTCAGGTGTGTTTTGCCACTCACACGTCGTTTGGCATCCTGGATCTGGGAGCTTCAAAAACAGTGATAGGTAGCGAATGCCTGCCGGACAATTCGAAACCTCGATGCAAGCATCCGGAAGCAGTTGACACGCTGTCCATGTCACGTAACGTTCAGGTTTGGGAATGAAGCCACATTGTCCAGTCGTCAGGCATTGGTCATACCTATAGGTAAGCTGAAACTTAAGGTAGCCATTGTGCCCGGGGGAACCCCATTTTTACTGAGCAATACTCTGATGAGGGTCATGGAAGCAAAGATTGACTGCGCCAATCGCACGTTGTCCAGTAAAATGTTCAAGAAACCGGTTTCACTTCAACTTACCAACAAAGGGTTGTTTCTTATTGATGTTAATCAGTTGGTGCAAGCAGCACAGGACAACCTTTCTCCGAGTTTGAAGTGCCAGCAAATGACCACTGCCGAGACTTTTGTGTCCGATGGTCAAGCCAGAAAGAAGGTATCGTGGGGTTCTGCAGCCGAGGTAACCGGTAAGGTATCCGATGCTGTCCAATCACAAAGTCATGCCATGTCAATGTCCAAGGGCTGTGTCAAACATGTAGATGCAAATTCTGAAGAACCTGATGGAAAAGAAACATTTCTCAAGAGTCACCAGCAATTGAATGATGTCGAAGATCGACAATCAGAGCATGCAATGTGCAGACAGGCTCAAAGCCCCTCCATTGATCTGCGCACTGAAAAGCATCCGAAGCAAACCGTGCACCATGTCGCTCAGCCAGCGTCTGCGTCGAGTGCAAGGGCCTCCAGTGAACATCGAAATGCCAAGTCTCAGTCACTTGACTCTCGAGGATCTGTCTCAGGAGATCGTGACGTTCGGCCAGAAGTACATGGGATGCCACTTCAAGGACACCTGGGAAGACCAGGAGTGTGTGCAATTCATGGTGAGCCGATACGGCAAGAGCCCCGAGGAGAGTCATCGACGGTATCTCCGCTATGTGGAGTTGAAGGTCGAGGCCTTGGAAGAGTCTCGGGAGACAATTCCACCAAGGTCCAACCCACAGGGTGTGCTCAGAAGCCATGCCAAGGCCAAAGCCATGGCCCGCCACATCGGCACTCCCATCAACACCTCTTTGCCGGATGGAGAAGCCGATTGGGATATCGCACCCGAGATGTATGCCTCACAGACTATTGCCGACCAGAACATCTACACGACCGAGGACATGGAGGCCATTCAACAGAGGATGCTGAACATGGAAAACGCTCTGTCCAGGGTGATTCGACACATCGAGGACCAGGCAATGATGAGCCAACTGAGCCGGGGCCCGGAGGATCAGTAACCAGTGATTGGGACGAAGAAATCCTGACCACTATGCATGCTGAATCACGTCAGTTGTTTGAGATGGTTCAACAGTTCGACAAAGAACTCCAACAGGTCAAGAGACAAACTCCAGCACTAGGTACACCTTGGTTGTTAGGAGAAGTCATGTGTGGAGAGAACTCACAACTGACTCAGCAGATGCAGCAGCTTGGCAAGAGTGCGTTCCGATTCAGCCGGCAAGATGGTGACCTGTCCACCGGTGAAGGCCGATCACTGTTGTTCCAAAAGGTTTGCAGGCATAGGCCGCAACACATTTGGTACAGTCCCGTATGTGGTCCATGGTCCTCATGGTCTCAATTGAATGCCTCCAGATCATTACAACATCATGAAATGTATGCTCAGAAACGACAAGAACTCATGTACCAGATTGCCCTTGGGATAACACTATATCGTCATCAGATGAGTCATGGATACCACCTACATTGGGAGCAACCCCAAAGGTCACTGATGTTTCGGAATCCCAACATGAGCGAGGTTCATCAACACACACAAGCATGTCAATTTGATATGTGCCGGGCTGGAGACTTACGAGACCCAGAGAATCACCAACACATGAAGAAAGGAATGACTGTTTTGACAACGTATCCTCCATTATTCCAACACTTCCATGGAATGACATGCCATCACCAACATCCACACCAACAACTTGAAGGAACTTGCAAGCCAAGCGCCAATCAACCTGCCATTTTGCGAACTCAGTATTCAGAAGCATACACCCGAAAATTTGCCAGATCGGTAGTCCAGGTATTGATGAAAGGTGGTCGACACTGGCCATACAACTGGTGTCCAGGTATGCTGTGCCTATCACAGCAGGATACCGTCTGCGTTGCTGCAGCCAACAAAGTGCGACGCCCTGCCCAGTTTGCCCGTTCCGAGCTGGTACAGCCAATAGCCCATGTGGGCCCAGGTGCCAAACGGCACAAAGCTGACCCAAACCAAGGAATACAACCTTCTCTAGAGATGTGTCAACAGGTCATTCAAATGATCAGTGCCAATTTTCCAAGGGTAGGCAAACGGGAAATCACCAATGCCGAAGTCATCCAAGAAATGCAGCAGATCTTTCCTGACAAAAGGGTTGTCAAGATCGTAGGATGCAAGGGCTCCGAAAGGACACTAGCTCCACCATCCAATATGCACCCTCAGGAAGCACCACTACGTAAGGCTCTACTGCTTAGGCGGGATGGTAGTATTCAATATGAGAAGAATTGGGAAAAGTGGATTCACCTTTCACAGCGACAACTGAACCGACCAGCACATGCCAGCCGGTTGAACATAACTGTGTTTGCTCGTGAACTCGAGGAATCAGAAAGTCAGCAGCCTGCCGAGGCTGAAGCCAACGCACCTGGCCCTTCATGCAGCGTGCCTGATAGCGTAGCCTCAACCAATGATCCTCCAAAATTCGTGCAAGATCCAAAACAGGCAGACGAAGACACTGCCGAATTGGATACCGAGATGCCTTCAACAACGCCGACACCAGCTGCACGAGAACCGACCACTGCCTTTGAAGTGCCCTCGACTGAGAAGAATGATCCGATATTGAAACAACAATCGTACCGTTTTCAACAGCTTCCAAAGTGGGAACAACAAAGTTTAATTCGGATGCATAAGAACCTTGGTCATCCCTCAAATGACAGACTGGCCAAAGCACTCCAAACCAGTGGTTATCGTCCTGAAGTAGTTCAGGCAGCTCAGGAAATTCAGTGCCAAGTGTGCGCCGCGAATGCACCTCCAAAGCATGCCAGACCAGCTACCTTGAAAACTATGTTGGACTTTAATCATAAAATATATGTTGATGGAGTCACTTGGACCAACAAGACCGGCCAAACCTACCATCTATATCATATACTTGATGCAGGTACCAACTATCATGTTGCAGTTGCCACCCCCGCAAAGACCACTGAAAGCTTCATCCAGATGATGAACCAACACTGGCTTAGCTGGGCAGGACCTCCGAATGAAATGGTAGTTGACTCAGGCACGGAGCTCAACAGCGCCCAGGTAGATGAATTTGTGCAACGGTTTGGGATCAAAAGCACCACCACCACTCCTGAGGCTCACTGGCAGAGTGGAAAGATAGAACGCCACGGCAGCTTTCTACAAACTATGTTGGATAAGATAGATATGGAACATCTGGTCCAAGACTATCATGCCTTGCAAGTAGCTTTGAACCAAGCCACCCATGCCAAGAATTCATTGAGCATTCGACATGGATATGCCCCTGAAATCATAGTATTCGGTAAGCACACCCGCTTACCTGGATCAGTTTTGAGTGATGAATCATTGCCTGCACATGAAAGCCTTATGGAGGAAGGTGAACCCCTTTCCAGCCATGAGTTCCGACAATTGCTGAACATCCGTGAGTCAGCCCGCAGAGCCTATCACACCGCTGACAACAGCGATGTGCTTAGAAGAGCAGCTCTCAGGAAAGCATGTCCCAGCAGGGGACAGTTTGGGAAAGGGGAATGGGTAATGATATGGAGAGCCAATCCACTCAAACAACTGCGATGGCAAGGTCCCCATAGAGTAATCATTCAAGATGGTCAACACGTGGTTTGGTGTACATCCGGGGGTAAAATCTACAGAAGTGCTCCTGAAAATACACGTAAGGCATTTCCTCAAGAGGGTTCACCCGAGGGTCCAGATCTTCCAGAGGATGTAACTCCACTAATGATGCAGATTCAGAGAATGCAATCCCTTGAAAATCCAGTTGATGAACTTGACATGTCACCACCAGTTCATAACCCTGACGCCGATAACTCCATTTCCAACAGCCATAACAGTAATATCCCAGAAAATGATGGACATTCACGAAATGACAATGAGAATTCCAATCAATTTCCTAACCACAGTCAAGAAGGTGAAAGCCAGAATGACTCAACGTCCCAACCGGATCAAGAACCTGACAATCAAGACGATGGCAACCCTGAAATTGCATCCGACAACAGTGCCTTGGAACAAGAAGATCCAACGCAATCAGACCTTTCGTATGTACCTATCATGTTAACATGTCATGAGCCAGAGAATGCCTTTACCAGTGAAGACATGAACTCCTTAGCATGGAAGTGTGAGTTTGACATGGATCTAGGTTTGCCTTTAGATCAATATCTACCCACTGACGAAGAGACATGGGCGATGCTGGCGACCACGGCTAAGAAACAACGATCCGAAGTCAAGCTGACTGAACTATCAGCCACCGAGAGGGCTGAATTCCAAGCCGCAAAGGAGTCAGAAATTCAGAACTGGATCAAAACCGGTACCATCAGCACCGTCTTGAGACAACAGATCCCTGAAGAACAGATACTGAGATGCAGATGGATCCTCACCTGGAAACCCTTAGATAATGTAGGTCAAGAAGAACTTCACCAAAAGAATCAGAAAACACATAAGGCTAAAGCCCGCCTCGTCGTGTTAGGTTATCTTGACCCTCGAATCGAAGAATTACCTCGTGATAGTCCAACTTTGAATAAGACTTCTCGGATGCTGGCCCTTCAAGTAATAGCATCTCATGCCTGGCAACTTCGAAGTTTTGATATCAAAGCAGCTTTCCTGCAAGGACAACCTCAAGCTGACAGGATAACAGCCATTGATCCAGTACCTGAACTCCGAAGAGCCTTGAACCTGAGATCCAATGAAGTTTGCAAGCTCAACAAAAGTGCTTATGGGTTGATAGACGCACCTTATTTGTGGTACTGCGCACTGGTATCCGAGTTGGTAAACCTTGGTTTCGAACAATCACCTTTTGATCCTTGTTTAATGATTTTAAGAACCTGTGACCAAAGAACTCAAGAATCCAAACTGGAAGGAGTTCTCGGAATCCATGTTGACGATGGTCTGGGAGGTGGTAGCGATGTTTTTGTTGCCAAGATTAAACAACTCGAAAAGAAGTTCCCTTTCGGCTCCCATAAGGTTTCTTCTTTTACCTTCACCGGTATTGAGATGACACAACATGGAGACTACAGCATTTCAATGAGCCAATCAAGTTATGTTCGAAAGATCAAAGCAATCCCAATGGAAGCCAACCGCAAGACCCAACCTGAATCACCAGTGAACGAGACAGAGCGACTTGCCCTTCGAGCATTGGTAGGAAGCCTACAATATGCTGCAATTAACACCAGACCCGATTTATCCAGTAAACTATCCATGTTGCAATCTTCAATCAACAAAGCCACAGTTGAGACACTTATGGAAGGTAACCGAGTCCTCCATGAAGCCAAACGATACCATGATGTCACTTTAACGGTCAAACCCATTCCTCATCAAGACTTCAGATTCCTTGCATTTTCCGATGCCTCATTCGCATCATCAACTAAACCTGATTCACATGCCGGAACCATCATCGTGGGGACCCACCAAGATATCAGTAAGAATTTCCAATGCCCAATAAGCCCTTTGACTTGGGGATGCCGAAAGATCCAAAAGGTAGTAACTAGCACCTTGGCAGCAGAGACGATGGCCCTGTCGTCGACACTTGACCAGTTGTCCTGGTTACGACTCTTTTGGAGTTGGATTCATGATCCTAAGACGGAATGGAGACAACCTGAGGAGACACTGAAAAAGATCCATGCCGCTATCACCATTCCCACTCGACATCCTGACACTGACATGGCAATCACCGACTGCAAAAGTCTCTATGACTTAGTGACAAAGACAGCGCCTCCTCAATGCTCCGAATTTCGTGTACAGCTCATGGCCCGAGCCATTCGGGAATCGCTTCGTGAAGGCACTCATTTGAGGTGGGTACCAAGTGGTGCACAGTTGGCAGACGCCCTGACTAAAGCTATGGAATCACACTTCCTTAGAGAAACTTTGAGTTTGGGAACATACAGAATATACGACGAAGAAGCCACCCTCAAAGCCAGAGCCAAATCGAAAGACCGACTCCGTTGGCTGAAGACACATGAATCAAATGCATCCGATCAAATGGCTACGAAGTGACTATAACACTTGGGATCAATCCTTTGTGCAGCATGATGTGATAGGTCTTAAAAGTTTGTTTTAGACGAGTGTGATTATCAATCATGCTGCTTCACTTCAACACCCAACCGTTTCCTCCAACCAATCTGTCAGGCATGCCTCCGTCAAGGCATTTGTGGCTCAGGGAGCCGGAAGCGGGCTGGGTGGGATAACCATTTGCCTCGGAGCCGTGGTGCGCTTTCTGGTGACAGGGTCACCCAACTGGATTTTCTCTGGACGTGGCCGTCCTTTTGACATTTCAAGCTTGGTGTAGCCCTGTTGGAAGAGAAACCGACCTTTTGCAGGCAAAACAGAAGAGCGGATTTACCAAAGCTGTGTGTGTGGAGATCTTTAGGTGAGGACATCTTATTTCTTCAGAAGCTTGGGACATCTGTCATCTGTTTCTGCAGTGGGAGCGTTGCCAATTACAACGTGTATATATATATATACACATACATATATTTACATATATATATATTTACATATATATATATATATTTACATATATATATATATATTTACATATATATATATATTTACATATATATTATACATGTTATATATATATATATTATGTATTATATTATATATATGCATATTCATGATGTATATGTATATGTATATGTATATGTATATGTATATGTATATGTATATGTGCATGTGCATGTGCATGTGCATGTGCATGTGCATGTGCATGTATATATACTATATGTATATTCTTGCCCTTGTGTTCCCACTGCCATCAGCATTTTCCTCCGGATTTTTGGCAGAAACTTCCGCCTCAAGGTGCCTGGTGCGAACCTTGCATTCCCTGTCCCAGGGGACCTCCCTCGGACGTTCGGACCTCAGGGACCTCATGGAGAGCTGCATGGGGGTTTGAAGCGAATTGCATGGGGATGGATGGCTATATGATGATATACAAATCGTGATAGATATAGACTAAATATAGATATAGACTGCAGATATGGATACATATATAGATATGGATCTAGAGATATTCAGATATAGATACAGATGGGCCTCACCCAAAAAAATGATGAACCCTTACTGTTTTGATGTTTTTTTTTTCCGGGACCCCTAGATGTATACACATAGGTGTAACACCAGTGAACTTTTTAATTTTGACCTGCCATCACGCTTGCTCTTGAGCAAACAAGTCTTGTATACAACTGTGGTGACAAGGATCATACCCACTTTCACAGACTATGACCAGCCTATTAGCCTTCGTTTGAATTGTACATCGATCCAACCAACATTTTCAATTCATCAAAATGGATTAGCAAGCAGAAAATGCTGATTCAAAAATCGGGTGACCCATTCACGCTGCTACCCTTGTAGCCCAGAAAGATCAGCGGCCGGCACGGGATGCTGTCCTTGCGTCAGGAGACAATGCGGAGCCTTCAGACTGCATATGACGCCTGATTTTTGGGTTCAGAGATGGGGCCGCGGACTTGAAGGGACGAGCAACTCTGACCCGGAGGAGCTTCGAGATTTGCCACCTCTTTAAGAGGCAACTCACATCAGATCATTGATGATCATTGTATATAACATATTGTAACATGTTTCACCCCCAAAATCTTCCTGTGATAGAGATGAATTTACTTATCAAACATCAAATTGGTCCTCTGCTCGCACCATGATTGTGCTGCCCCAATGTTTCACAGATACAGAAAAGTCTTTCCATGGACTTGGGCTGCACAGCACCACCTCTGAGTGGTGCCGACGGTGGGGAAATCCTGTCCCAATCGATTTCGCACAACTCACGGATTTCCCAATCGTAGGGGTGCAGCTTCATAGTTTGGATCAATGTTGGAACTTGAACTTGGATTTTTGGCCACAGGTGCTAAAATGATCTCTTGTGTGCGGGTGGCACGATGTGATTTTCATCAGTCATCCTTTGATGCAGGGCATAGTCTACACGCTGCCTTAGTTTCTTAATGCTTTTGGAGAATTGGCTGGATGCAATAGGAGTTGCAACAGGGAGTATTTTATATACTGGTGAAAGAAACAGCGCATCTTGCCCTGTTCGATGGCACAAAGAGTGATCCTTTGACGGGAGTCATCACAGTCCACTTGCTGCTTCGCTTGGGTATGCTTCAAAGTTCAAACATTCTTGAACCCAGAAAAGCATCAAAAGCAGCATCCACCTTAGATTTGTGGTCCGTTGCGACAAGGGTCCCATACCGCAGCTGTTTTACATGAATCCGCTCCACACCGCTGGATGAGCTAGTAGAGGCCACCAATGCGGTTGCTGCGCGTTTTGCTGGCGTGGTGCTTGGCCAAAGCAGCCAAGGTCTATCGGTGCAAGTGGCCGCGCTCGGTGTTGAGCTCTGGCGACCCCAATCTGATGGTGACAGTTGATGGATCAGAAGTGAGGTGAGGAGTCCAAAATGTGGCCGAACTTGGATGTTTGAGGCTAGATTGCTAGGTGTTAAGTAAATTGCATGGTTCAACAACTGATGTAATCAAGACATTTTGGTGTTTGGATTGTCCATCTTGATTTTTGCCCCATATGCCAGGTGTGACCGAACTGGTGATGCCAACTATATATGCCCAGCTGCGTGCGACTATGGACACAGCAATCCAGACAGCTGCTTTGGTCCCATTGAAGATGGGGGTGTTTGCAATACTGTCTGGGAAAGAAATAGCCAGTCCTTCTACACCATGGAGAGCTTCAACACCACGCATGCGTGCACCCGGCGTTGGAACAGTGATTGCTCTGCAGACATGGGAGGTACTGCTTGCCATGAACTTGGTCAGTGTGATTCGGAAGCATTCATGGTTTGTAAACGCTTTGAAGGATGTTCTCATTTTGACCATGATTTCGATATCAGAAAATGGGACTCCCCACATGTGCCAAAACGTGTCCATTTTGGCTGTGGAAAAGTCGCCGTCAAACGGATACGTTCAGGTTACGGGAGTTATCAGATGATCACTTTCGATCAACCTACCTTTCTGGAGAAGTATGGCTACGAACCCAGTTTTCTACAACAGCCCTGGGAGATTCTGGAGCCACCGCACCTTGACTGATGTCACATGATGTCACTGATGTCTAGGCGCCATGGTTCTGGGGGAAATGCCGAGCCTTCGTCGGGAAAGGACCAAAAGTTGCAGGGCTCCGTTCATTTGATCATTCATGCGCACTCAAAATCAAACATTCTGAATCGAGAGGTCAAATGTTTGGTTTCCATTTTTTCTCAACATGTCTCCAATCTTAATTGGAACCCATGATGTTCCTGGGTCAGTACCAGTCAACGGGCCACGAGGTCGTGTGCCGGGCACACCAGCGCGGAATGCTGCATGCTGCGCATCAACTACTATCGCTGCCTCCACGGCGCACCACCCTTGGTCTACCATGAAGGGATTGCAGCCAGCGCGCAGGAGTGGGCCAGCAAGCAGGACAAGGGTAGTATCCATTCGAACTGGGGAAGCTCGGCTCCACACAGTTGCACTTGGTTTCGACTTGGGATTCCCCACGAAAGGCAACGACTACTGAGTAAAATCTAAGGCCCTGGAAACCATTTATGTTTTTTGAAGTAGCAAACACTCTGAATCCAAGTAGTTTGCGGCCGTTTGGTATTTGTCAGACAGCTTCTTTGAGAATCTAGTGCCAGTGTCTCCAACGACCACCAAGTTTTGTCGATGCTTTTCTGCAACTTTCAGAGGAATGCATCATGTTTTCAAGGAGATGAAGATAAATCACACATCGTGGAGTTGAGTCTTCTGTTCGGAGATTGCAATAAGCGTATTCTTACAGAAATGGAGTGAATACCAGAGTCAGTTGTTCTCAGCTCAACTGTCAATTCTTCATAGTCCCTACAGATCAACTAGTGCCTCACAAGCATGGACTTCAGAACATAGGAACAAAGCCGAAGCGCCAGAGGGCCCAGGAACTAACTTTGGAGTCGATTGTCTCCTGCCCACTGGTCCTGCTTCATCTTCCCACTTTTGGTGAACATCTCCCTCTGTTGGTTCTCATCCTCAAGTTGGGTGGGTAAATACCGCACTCAGGGTGAGTTGCCATACCCATATCCCAAATTTTTGGCTACACCCTGAAAGCCGCTTGAAGCTGCAGGGGGCAGCTTCTTCCCTCACTACACTGAAGTCCTGACGTGGGGCACTGACAGCTGTGAGCGCGGAGCCAAGTCCTGGTATGCTGAGATCGGGGTGCATAACTTCAGCATCAATGCTGTGCAAGGCGGCAGCTACAACTCAGGTACCTTGCGGCATTGGATGCCTTGGCTAAGCCTTAATTTATCATAGTAACATCATCCATGTGGCTGAAAGTTGACCACTGTACTAGCAAAATTGGATGACCCACTGTCTAGCATATTGTCGTGGCGAGCAAACACATGACCTCAAGAGGAAAAAAACAATAGGCAACCCCCGCAAAGGAGACAACCGCAATATTGAATCATGAACCCTCATCGTGGCAGTCAACCCCATTTAACAAAGGGTCGTTCATGTATTCTTCCCGTCAATTTTGTTTCGATGGCAACGTGCAGTATTTGGGGGCGATAATGCACTGACTGGTGGCCATTGCTGTTTTTGGTGCACTATTGTGGATAAAGCCGATTCACCCTAACATTGGGTAAGGTAAGCAAAAGGCAAATGTCTGCTGAGAGCAAAACTCATGATTTGTCAATTTCGTCATGGTCTTGTGACCCAAGGCCACATGGTGCTCCTTCTATGGCACAACCATACCATGCTGGGCTGCGGCTTTGGCGACAACACCAACGGTAACCCCATCGTGGTCTGCGATTTTGCATGGGCCCATCAGGGGCACAAAGGCGATGATGCCTGGGAAGCCAACCTCAGGGGACGGACCGGAGCTACTCAAGATGAATGTCGCACTATTGCAGAGGCCTTGTGGTGTCAAACCTGCTGTGCAATTCCCTGAGTTCATGTTTCTGTTTGAGGCAGACCTAGTCAGGCATGCACAAGAAATGCCCAACCCCAAATTTTGACTGATATTATGAGTGATATGAAAACCATCCTTTTGAGGTGATGGTGCAAAAAGATGCAAACGGTGCTTCCCAATTGATGGGTTGAATCCACAATGCGGGTGACTGCTTGGAATGTCTAGATGTGTTGGATGGCTCTGACCCTGCAGGGCTCCTTGAGTTTCCCCGTTTTGCAAGCTGGCGATGACATCAGCGCCGAGCAAGTGGCTGCGTTGAGGTCTGGCCAGGTGCCCGGGCAGAACACGGAGCAAAGCAGCACCACTGGAGCCACTGGAGGCACTGACACCGCAGGCACCACTGTGGATGAAGATGGCTCCGTCACCACCTCCAGTGATACGGGAAGCAAAAGCAGGGCCAGCAGTTGGAGTTTGAATGCCTTTTGGCTGGCCTCGGCGGCCCTTTTTTCAGTTTGGTGACCAGATTGGATCTGAGCTCAACTCACTGTGTTCACAGGGTGTGCAGTTTCTGTTTTTGTTTTGAAACCAGGCCTCACCCTGAAGGGGGATGGCAGGAAGTGTGGATGTATATAGCTGCTTGGGCAAAGTTTGGCTTGCAGCCACTGGTGCTGCTCTCATGCCTCTGCGAGTAGCCCCAAAGATGCGGCAAAAAAGATGCTAACATGATGGTGGCTGGGAGGATATCCACCTCCAAACTCCCTGGCTGATTCAGAAGAACTCCCAAATTACTGCAGAGAATTCTGCGCAGGGCTAAACTGGCTGTCTTGGGGTGTGATTTACGTCCCGTTGCTCTTATTCACTCAGATCAGAACCATATTTGGGGCAAAGAAATAGAAATATGGCCAGCACACAGCAGCTGCCACTCCGTCGACAGCGTGCAACAGCCCCAAGACCAGTAACTTCAGAACATCCAAAGCGGTCCGATTTTAGCCATTTCAGTCGCACCAAACAGCTACATATCAGCATTTGGGCTTGATCTTTTTATCTTGAAATGGCTCAGCCAGTCCAAAATGATGGTTTTGTGCACTTCGCACCTGCATCGTAGCCTCCTTGCAGTGGTGATGGCTTCTGTGTCAAAGAACAATTACTGCTTGACATGGAGGCAGGTTTCGCACAGAGAGATAATTTGTCTGATAATTGCTGGGACCCCTCTGCTGGTTTCGCGCATTTTTCCCTATCGAAAGCAGTGCAAGATGATCAAGATGAGTTTGCTCGGACATCTTTTCCTGTAGGAACTATCCACGGTCTATGGGATCAGAAAGGATAGGGAATCATGGCTCTAAATTGATGCTGGAACGACCCTCGGCTGTCCTCCAGACAGGCACATCTGCCAGATGCATTTGGTGGGCTTTTCATGAGCTTCATTTCTGGTCGGCAACTGAGCCCTGGGGTTGGGCTCAGAGGCTTGCTGCCTTGTCTGCAGCAGCAGACATCTCTGCAATCTCAGCAAACAGCAAATGCACTGACTTTGTAAAAAAAAAAGTAGGACGTAGTGTGTTTGAGCCGCTGTAGTGAATGATGTTTCTGATTTCTCATATGGAAGCTTCCTAAGTCATGGGGTACCCCCAAATCATCCAGTCATTAGATCATTAGACATCATTTTAGTTCCCAACTGAGGCGTCCTTGGCGCCGCGTGTACATAGTATGGCTAAGGCCCTCAGCGTCCGGAAGCCTGTCGTTGTCCCGATGTGGGCGGAATCAAATCATATAAACCAATAGGGCAATGAGATACAATTAGATTAGATACAATTAGGACGGAGGGACCTACACACATTTGGTTACTTTTAGCTTTGTTTTGGCATTTCAACAAGCCAATTAAGGGTTCCCAACTCTGACCCATGGTTGCTTCAATCCAGAAGAAGCAACCTCAATAGACGGCGTTCCACTGGGTTTCAAGCTGCCGAGCTGAGGATGGAGGGGCCTCGCTCCAAAGTGATTCCATCGAGCTCCTTGGTGGCACCCTCCAACGAACAGTTGGACCCTGCCAGTTGTGGGGCTTGGAAGACCCATTTCCTCTGGGGATGGGGGGATGGGTGGTTAAAAAAGGGTGCGATGTGGGATGCATTTTTCTTTGCAGAAACATCACGTTTTATTTTCCCAAACGAGCTGTGTTAGGGTATGTTAGGGAACCCAAGGCATCTGCACCATCCTTCAAGACAGAGTTATCATACAAGGGGAACCCAAGTGTGATCTAGACCATCATTCAAAACCTTTGAACTTGCCCATTTGAAGGATTTTTCCCACACATTTAAACACAGTACTTTTGGTCACTACTTTAGCTTGCTCTCCCTCAGGGGGGCGGAGACGGAGATTGAAGACCTCTTGGTTGAGTCCGCAACTCACAGATTTATGGTGAGGTTTTTCATCATTTCAATACAGCGAGCCAGCTGCGTCGCCAGTTGTTCCAACCTCTGGCTGTGTTGCCAGTTGCACTGCTTGCGTCGTGCTTTCGCCGTTCTGATTCACCTCTGTGCACTTGTTGACTCATATTCTGGTTGTCATTTGTTTTATATATGTCCATTGTTGTTGCCATTGACATTCCCCAAGGTTTCAAGATCTTCAGATTTGATCGAAATGGGCAAAAAACCACCCCCAAATGGTATATATATATATGTATATATACATATATACATATATATACGTAGATAAATATAATATATATATATATACATATACGTATATAAATATATATGTACATATGTATATATATATATATGTATATATATACATGCACGTATGTATGTATGTATATATATACACACATATTGTAGTTGTTTACCATTGGGTGAATTCGACATTCACATTCAATTTCCCCATATTTGCTTGGCAAAAACCTGGATGCATCCCTGTTATTCTGTTATTTGGGGGTTGATTCCCTAATGATTCTAATGACTATGATAATAATTATTATTATCTTGCTAGTAATTAGTAATAATACGATCAACTCCCACCATTTGCCCCGCTTCTAGAAGAGTTCGACGGGATCATTATCACCATCATCATCACCATCATCATCATCATCAACAACAACAACAACCACATCATTGGTATGACCATCGTCTTCTTCGAACAGAATCCTGGAAAATTGGTTCAAAATGCACAGTTCCAGCACTTGGTTGCACTAACAGTTCAAACAGAATCCTAACAAACCGTTGCAAAATGCACAGTTCCAGCAATCTTGTTAGAACGAACAGCTCTAACAGAATCCTAGCAAATCGCTGCAAAATGCACCCACCCCACCCCACCGTAAACCATGATAATTAGATCATCTTGGGCACAGCATCAAAGTCTTGCGCAAAGTCGAATGAACGTTGTCATCACCCCATCCACCCCACCCCACTGATGCAGCATCAAAGTCTTGTGCAAAGTCGGGTGAACGCTAACATCCCCCCACTCCACCCCACCCCACCCCATGTGAGCGTAGCATCAACATCTTGTGCAAGGTCGAGGGAACGTGGCCGAAGGAACGTTGACATCCCCACCCCACCCCACCCCATGTGAGCGTAGCAGCAACATCTTGCGCAAGGTCGAGGGAACGTGGTCGAAGGAACGTTAACATCCCCACCCCACCCCACCCCATCTGAGCGTAGCATCAACATCTTCTGCATGGTCGAGGGAACATGGCCGAGGGAACGTTAACATCCCCACCCCACCCCATCCTATCCCATGTAAACTGTGGGGCAAATGGTGGGCGTTGCGTCTAATAATAGCAACAACAATAATTAATAATACTTTGAATAGCTTTATTGTTAGTATAATCGTGATTATTGCCATTATTGCTTTTTGTTTTTATTCGTACTGGGTGAATCTCACAGTATCGCGGAAAATACCATCCTCCGGGGCGATCGAGGCCAGCGCATTGGTTTGCGCCTGGGGGCTTTGAGGATCCGCATGGCGAGATGAAGCTTGACGGCAAGTCCGGCTCGCCATAGCCATGGCTTTTGTTTGGCAGAGATGTGGGATGAACCCCCCCAAGTCATATGGGCATGGGTCAAAACCGATACCATATTTGGGGGGAATAAGCATCCATTCACCAGCGATTTTACCGTTTACCAGGGTTTTGACCCATAACCATATGGTGGTTTCGATAAATGGGGGTACCCCCAAATCATCCACTTTAATAGGATTTCCCATTATAAACCATCCATTCAGGCGTACCCCCCACTGTTTTTTTTTCCCACCTTTCCAGACATCTCCATCTCCCCCCCTCTGGCCACCACTAAGATGTGATAACACCGTGGATGGGCTTCAAGAGGTTGGGCAGCTGGAACAAATCAAGTTCTGAGTTTGCGAAAAGCTAGCGACAATGGGATATACCAAGGGAATAAGGATATAATGTGATTTTTCCATGATGTTCTTGGGTATGCACAAAATGGCAGCAGAACACAATGAGTTTGGATATTTCGCTGGCTGACGTGGACCTCATGACCTGTTGCATCGTGGTAGGCAGCGTTGCGCGGAGATCTGTGCCTTCTGCGCAAGTGCTCTTGTGGCTGAACCTCCTAAACCTTACCCCCAAGCACTTGACGAAGACCTTCATGTATTTACAATGTATTTGAATGTTGGGGGTTGGCTTGGCTTGGCTTGGCTGGCTTGGTTGGCGAACATAGAGGCTTTTTCTCACCACCTGTTTATGTGGATGCCATGCTTTGAAGCCGTGAAAATAGCCCGAAGTAGCCAGGTACATCCGCACTGGATCGACTCCACCAGTGAATGCCCCACTGCATGTGGCGCGTGGGGATGAATACCTCACTTTGCTGCATGTCGCAAACTGAGTGCTATTCGGTACATGATCATCGAGACGCCCCGTGGAATTGGCAATGGCTGTTGCAGGGCCTAGCACCTTGTTGAGACTTTGAGAAAGGTACTAATGGTCAATAGTAATTGGGCAGTGGGTTATTGGGCAGTGGGTCAAGAGCTGAGGACGCCCCAACCTACACGGATTGGATTTGATGATAGAGCCACCAAACAAATCATTCCGCAATCATCCTGCCAACACGGTCAAATAATTTCAAATAGAACGGTCGCAAACCTGGAATTTACATCGTATCCTGGAAAACTGTTCTATGCATGGTAGCAAACCATCCAATCTTAGTCCGCGATAAGTGACGCTCAGGTCATTGCAAGCAAGCCAGGCTTGCCAAACAGTTGGATAGCCCAGCTACCTCAAGGGCTCAGAAATACTGACCTTCAAACCAGGTTGGGGATTGAAGTTGAACCATCCAGAAAAAATGAAGACATGTTGGTGGTCAAGAATTGAATGGTGATCCACACCCCTCGAGGTGCTCAAATCTTGGTGCAGCTGATCAAAGCCAATGTCTTGACCTTGATGGTGGATTGCAGGTTGATTCTAGTGAGGTGTATAGGTTGTTTCATCTCGTTACTCTGTGGTGGCTCATTTCATAGGAATCTCATTTCTGGGGTCTTCAGCTTGTTTCTGTGGTCACTTATATGCTGACTATGTCGAATTTGTATACCTACATCTACATCTACATAGTTATAGAATGTTATAGACAATTAATGACAATCATAGATGTATAACCCCCACAATTATAGATGTATACGATGTATAACCCCATATAAACATATATAAACCCGATATGTCAGGAAACGATTCCCTCCAATCGAAGGAACCTGCCGAGGCCAACCCCAACGCGCGGAGCACTTTGGGCTCCACCCCGTGGCTTGGCGTGGCCAGGACTTTGGGATGGGCTTATACAATTAAATATGATACTACCATATAAGTATTATCAATATATAGATTCATATAGATTCATATAGATTAACATAGATTAATTTAAATTAATATAGATTCATATAGATAGTTCGCATGGAATATCATTGAACCATGCACCAATGCTCAAATGCTCCACTTAGTTGTTTAACATGCTCGAGTTTGGCATGGTTTGGCCCTGGAGGTTGGCTGCTGTGATCGCAGTGCCACAGACGCTGCCAGGCTGATGTTTGCGTGTTTCCACAAGAACGTCCAGATTGCAGAGGTCATGGCGGGTTGGGTCTGTGTCGAAAGGGTGCTGTAAACAGCATGGAAAAGTACACTGACAGCCAACAACATGTTATGATGAAAATGGTGTTAGGGCCATACTTGTTCATGCTGAGGATGGTAGGAAGATCGGGACGATACTTCCACACTGATGAACATCAGAAAACAGAGTTCGAAATCCATTGACATCGATGTCCATTCTAAAATTACTGCGAAGTATAAAGGAATTCATAGTTTTTTTCCCCAACAGCGCAAGCTAATGGGGTCTTCAGCCCAGAACAGCTCCGGTGTGCACTGGTGCAGGCCCCGGGTCAGGTTCAACGAGGTTCTGGAGAAGGTTCCGAAGGTTCCGGAGGTCTGGAAGGCTTTGGTGCAGAGCCAGGTCAGGTTCAACAGGGTTCCGGAGAAGGTTCCGGAGAAGGTTCCGGGAGGCTTTGGTGCAGAGCCAGGTCAGGTTCAACAGGGTTCTGGATAAGGTTCCGGAGAAGGTCGGGGAGGCTTTGGTGCAGAGCCGGTCAAGTTCAACAGGTTCCGGAGAAGGTTCCGGAGAAGGTTGCGGAGAAGGTTCCGGGAGGCTTTGGTGCAGCCAGGTCAGGTTCAACAGGGTTCTGGAGAAGGTTCCAGCGCTTGGCTTCGCAGCACGCTTCAGAAAGATTTGTAAACATAAAACGTTGCGGCTGTTGGGGATACAAACCAAGCTTATATTTTGACTGGGTGCTACAAAGATTGGGTCCCCATTCTTTGCTATCCAGGTGCTGCTGGAGAACGAGGCTGATCCTGACGCTGCGGGGATACTCAGGAAACGAAATCATCACTGGAAGTGAAAACTTCTGATGGTTGGGATTTAATGGGGATAGAATGGGGTAATATGAACCAACAAGTCAGTGGAGATATCATGATCTTAACGGGGATATAAACCAACAATAATGGATATAACCTCTGGTAACTTAACATAGCTACTGAACCTAGTCCATGTATAGATGCTTTGCCTATTAACATGACAATTTCAATAGCTATGAGGGTCACCACTGCAGAGGTTGTTTTTGGTTTTGGTGATTGCAGGGCCCAGGACATGCTGGGGCTCGGGCTATCTCCTGGCAAGCATTTCCGAGGAGAATGTACACTGTCAATTTTCAATTTTGTTGGAAGCTAATGCATTGGAACAGCGAAGATTCAAAGATCAAGTTCTGGATGTGCTCGAGTACTCCACAAGACGAGGTTGATGATCACGGCAAGACAGCCCTCAGATACGCACCTTGACAAGCATTCGGAACTTTTGAGGCAACCATCGCACTGCCACTGCTTTTGTCATCTTGCAAGCCAATCTCTAACTTAGCAAGGAGTGCAGGACATTTTCCCAAGATTGCCAACAAAAAGTTGGGAGCAGCCTATATCCGTATCCCTAGGCTGTTTCCTTGGAGATGAAGGCAGGACCTGACCCATTGATCGATTCATCGATGCTTCAAGTGGAATGTGTACGGCTCAAAGTTGGGCACATTACACCCCAAAATGGATCAACACGTGAGATCCTGTGCTGCTTGCAGGGCATTGGGGAAACGGAGGCTGCCAAACGCAGTGTTCGGAGCCCGAGTGGGTGCGTTCGAGGCACAAACACTGTTTGATTTGATGGTACGGATGACGGGGTATCATTTGATCCTGTGATTTGGACGCTGATTCAGGGCCAAGACCCTCTGCTGTGCACCTCTATGTCAGCTGGGAGACTCGGGTTGGGAACTTAAGGCGCAGCTTGCTGATATCTTGGAGGCGCAAGGAAGCGATCTTGATCATGGCGGTTTGCGATCGCCAATGGCAGAGGACCAGAGGGGCTTTGGGTTGAGGTGATCTGTGGAGGTTTGTCGAGGTGAAGATTTAGGATGTTGGGTTCAAAGGGTTCCAGGTAGCATCATAGTACAGTTGTTGGATCTGGAAGTTGCCAGGGACCCTTTGCCACCTTTTCTAGAGTGCATAAGAAAGAATCCAGCCGAAGACTTTGTTGAACAGACTATACCAATTAGATTCAACATCAACTGGCACTTCTATCTTGCTTCCCTGCATTCTTTTTGTTGCTACATGCTGTTTTGCGACAAGTATAGATATGCAACTTCTATATTACTATATTATATAGTTATATATAATCATATGTATAGATACAAACATCTTGCAGTCAGGGCCAGGGACCAGGCTTAAATATGAAAACTTAAGACCACCCATCCATAGCAGGCTGTCATCCAAGACAACCGAGATGCCGTAACTTGGCTGTGATGATGGGCGAATCTAGGGTTGGCCAACTGGTTACTGGGTCACCCCCTTGAGAAAAAATGAGTTGGAAGTGGGTTCTTATAGGGATTATGAATTCACCATTCGTTGGGTTATTTGATTCCAACTGGTTTATATTTGTTGATGGGTTTGGAATCACATCGCTGACCTTATGGATTATGAATATTATGGCACTTGAAAGCAGTCATAACAGATTTTCCAAACCATTTGATGAATGTTTGTCTGAAGCAGGGTACTCCAAATTGCATGGTTTGAAACTTGATTTCCCCATATTTTCCCAATATATATATATGTATACAGTATATATATATACATATGTATACAGTATATATATATATGTATACAGTATATATATACTGTATACAGTATATATATATACATATGTATACAGTATATATATAATATGTATATATATATATTATATACTGTATACATATGTATATACATATATATATATATATGTATATATATATACATTAGATTATGTATATACATATTATATATTCTATATTATATTTATCATTCATGTTGGGACACAAACCCATCTCAAATTTTCGTCACCTGCCGAGATGACTCGACTCTTGGAACTGGGCGCATCGTCCATGAGCCCAGCCGTGGCAGACACCACGGTGAGAACTTCACCATGGGTCTGAAAATTGGGCCAGATTTTATGGTACCCCGGAAATTGATGAGTGACCAATGGATTTTCGTGACACCAAAATCAATGGACAAGCAAACATGGAACTTCTCTGAAAAGGGGTTCGGAAGCTGCTCTCTTTCTATCAGGAATGGTATTTTTCTGACTTGCATGTTTATTTTTGGTCACATCGGTGTCTTGAGATCTGGTTTTGAAGTTCTTCATCCGTGAAGTCAACGTTTGAAGAACAAGTTGGACCCACAGAGGTAACCAACTCATAAAGTCCCCACAATACGTAACCAACACTTGTATCTGCTTCATCACAACATACCCAAATTCTGGCACAGCGCGCGTCCCAATAGAGAGGTCAGATGGCTTGGTCTATGCCCTGGCAGAGAAGTCTGAGCTGGTGATTAAGGTGGGGTCAGATTTTATGGTCCTTTACAGCCATAGAACTGGTTTGTTGCTTTCTATGACTTCAGTTTTAGTCATGAAATCCCCACAACATGGCTGATGACCATGTCGAGACATTTTACAATAAAAAATGGGATACAACTGCAATATATTGAAAATAAAGAGGTTAATTTATACTGCTGTATCCAATCAGTATTGAATTTCTTGGATATTGCCAGTTTGCTTCATTTGGATTGACATAGGGGGAATATGTAAATATGGGACCATCAGAATGGGGGAATGAAAGTCCAGCTGGGCAAATATCTATATAAATATCTATATAAATATCTATATAAATATATTATATATATTTATAGATATAGATATAATTATCGACATATTTTGGCGCGAACGGTGGAGGATTGCAGGGTGAAATGATCAATAGCCGTAAGAGTTAGGCTCAAACATGGTTCGTCGCCACGGAGCAAACATGATCTCCGACTGTGATGGTAAGGTCAATATCTCAGACTTGTTTTCTTTTCTCCGTATCTTTCTTCAATAGTTATTTGGATGGTTAAAACCATGTTTTGATGATGAAACAACTTCTACATTCTGCATCTCTGGTCAAACATGGCTTGCTGGAGAATAGCCCATTTATAGATGAAATTCTGATTAAAACCTCCATTAATTGGGAATTTCCCTACATTTTTTTCTTTGAACTTTGAACTCACTGACATCAGGGAAAGCTCCCAGAGACATGGCCAGGAACTGATCTCCGGCGGGGCGAATCCCTTCGTCAAAAACGAGGTCCTGATGTCTCCACTGTCTCAACTCCACTTCCAAAATAGCGGTAAGCTACTTTTCTATCATTCTTTTTTGGGCACAATCTCTATATATATATATATACACATACACATATGTATATACACATTCATGTTTGGATACATGTATGATATGTACAATAATTATATACAAATGAAGCACATAAAAATGGCGTGTGATATTTATATATTACAACATACACATGCATGATACATACATATATGTATACGTACATATATGCATATGCATGATGTGTATCAGATTTACACTCGTGTCCTGGCTGTGGGGCAAACTTCCACCAGACCTGGGTTTTCAGATTTTCTCTCTGTGAAAATTAGATGATGGGCGGGGGGTTCACTCTGGAAAGTTTGGGCAAGTTGTGACCAGGAACTCTTTGTAGGGAAACGATCCATGCTTGCAATTCTTGTGCGGTGAAACCAGCAGGAATAGCTAACACACACGTTGAATCCTGAATCCCCATGATGGAGAGGTCAGTCATTCCGCCAGGGGACGTCTTCCATGCCGATATTACATGAATATATTTCTGGGTTTTCACCAGCTTTTCTGGGAAAATCGAGGTTTTTGTGCCGGTTATCACCATATCAAGTTATCAAGGGGGGATTCATGTCCACCGTTCCGGTCCACAGGATGGCCTGAGTTGCTTGGATGTGGCGCACGAGCGTGGCAGCGAGGACGCGGCCCAAGTTTGTTGGACATTGTGATAAACCAATGGGTTTCAGGAGTTTCAGTGGGTGTTGAATCATCAAACATATTGGGATTTAATTTCATGAAATTACAAGGAGTTATGAAGAAAATACAGGGATTCAATGATGGCCCAAATTTTGAGTGAACCCCATGTGGGGATGGGTCAAGACATTATGAATGGGAGGATGAACATCTGGCTACACTAGTTTTGTTGACGTGAAGACTGGAATCCTGAAGCAACTGGTCAGTGCACTCATAGGCCCCTCCTACTTATGAATGAGCGGCACAATCCTATTCAAGTACAAAGCGCAGGGACACGAACAAGTAAACATATAAACGCAAGTTGTACTTGATTGGAAGCCGCGTGGAAACTGGAACCCATTCCTTGAAGACAAGGGACCATTTTCACAACAAGGTGGAAGTTTCTGGCTAAAATCCTTGTAGAAATTCAGCCTAAAGTTGGCAGGTTTTTTCATTTGTTTCAAGGATCATTCTCATTAGAAAGGCCATACAAGCGGCCATACCTTAGGTTACCCGCCTGCCCACTGGTGCATCATGAAACTTCATCTTGGCGAGGAGATCATGGAGCTGCTTCAGGACTACATCGTCGAAACGGAGAGGTGGCTTTAGTGGGGCAGGTTGACCCACAAAAATGGCTCTGGCTCAAGATCGGGGTAGGAAGGGGCCCACTTTTTTTTCCCTCCTCTTAAAGCATCAAAATCATTCAGCCGTCCATTTTTTTGGAGTTTTTTTCTTTTTTGATTATTTTGAGTGACAGCCTTGAATGGGATGAACACGCAATGAATGGAATTTGTCCAAGGTCGCGATTTGGTTTCATTTTTTTCTTGCCATTCATGAACAAATGAGATGCTGAGAGGGTGGTTGTAACCACCAAGGAGAACATGGAAAGATTGCATGATTGCAAGGCATGACAGTTGAGACTCCACAAGCAGATCCCATGTGAGTTGCAGGTCTCGCAGTCAGCATCTCAAGATGAAACCGTGAGGGGCACCCAGCCGACTTGGCAGGAGGACCATTCAAAAGTTGTGGTTTTACAATGGCGGACTATATGTAATTTCCAGTCAGAGCTCTACTATTTCACCCAAATATATATATCCAAATATTATGTTTATTAATATATATATATACATATACATACACCCATGCAAGCGGGGGGCGGAAGTTTCAAAATTGAAGCGCTTAGAGCGGAACCAAGACTGTGCCTATAGGGTGCAGGCGAGCCTTCTGTGCTTTGCAGCGACAATCTCTTGACTTGTCATTCCGGTGCCATGTCTTCTGAATGTTGGATGTCTTCTCATTTCATCTGATCTCATCGCATTGCAGCTTGTCTTTGAAATTGCTCATTCAATCCCATTGTCACCGCAGTGTGTGTCATCCCATCATAATATCACGTTGTGTCCTTTCATCTCATCTCATCTCATTTCATCTCATCTCATCTCTTCTCTCCTTTTCTCAGCTCAACTGATCACAACTCTTCTCAACTGATCACAACTCTTCTCAGCTGATCACAACTCTTCTCAGCCCATCTGCACTCTTTTCAGCTGTTCTCAGCTTCTCCATTCTACGCAGCGCGTCTCAACTCAGCTCTTCACCGCTCTTCTCATGTCCGTTTGTCTCAGCTCATCCCATCTCATCCTATCTCATCCCATCTCATCCCACCTGAGCTTATCTCAGCTCTTCTCAGATTTTCTTAGCTCTTCTCACAACTCTTCTCAGCTCTTCGCAGCTCATGTCAGCTCATCTCATGTCTTCTCATCTCTTCTCTCCTCGTTTCACATCTTCTAAGCCAAGCTCTTCTCAGCTCTCCTTGCATCTTCTCAGCTGATCTCAGACCCCCGCCCAAAACCTGCTCCAAAACTGGCTTTTGCCGCCAAAACCGAAAAAAGTACAATTTAATTTCGGAGGCCTTTTTAAAAGGAATCTGAGAAGGAAAATGAAAAGCGCCAAAAACGAGAACAAATCAGCGAAAACTCATTGCTGCAACCCTGCAACTTCAACTTGTGAAAACGAAGCTTTCGTGTGAGACCTGCCTCAAAAAATGAAAGTTGAAGATGTGAAAACGAAGCTTTCGTGAGACTTCTTTGCTGTGTGACTTCTTTGCTGTGAGGTGTCTTTGCTATGTGACTTCTTTGCTGTGAGATTTCTTTGCTGTGGGGCCTCTTTGCTGTGTGACTTCTTTGCTGTGTGACTTCTTTGCTGTGTGACTGCTGTGAGACTTGATTGCTGTGGGGCCTCTTTGCTGTGTGACTGCTGTGAGACTTCTTTGCTGTGGAGCTCTTTGCTGTGACTTCTTTGCTGTGCGACTGCTGTGAAACTTCTTTGCTGTGTGACTGCTGTGAGACTTCTTTGCTGTGGGGCCTCTTTGCCATGTGACTTCTTTGCTGTGTGACTGCTGTGAGGCTTCTTGGCTGTGAGGCGTGTTTGCCATGTGACTTCTTTGCTGTGAGACGTCTTTGCTGTGTGACATTTTTGATGTGGGACTTCAATGACTTCCAAAGATCCGTAACACGGACGTTAGACTTTCACACTTCCCTTGGTTATACGCACATCTTTAAAGTTGACAGATAACCATAGTGGTTGGGGTATTGAATTATGGCAAACCCCTTTGAAAATTGGGAGGGCCAGTCGTTTTTCGTGAGGAATCTGGGTGGTAGACACGGTAACAACAATTCGCACGTTTCCCATTGGTCTAATCATGGAGTGGCAAAAGCGGATTTACCAGGCGCTTCCGCCCAACAAATCCAGGCTATACGGCTATACCTTCTGGTAAGCAAACTTGTCAATGGACAATCAAGGTTCGGAGCAGAAGATCCTCACTGGACCACCAAGGGCTTGGAGCATTGCCAGGTGTTGGATTGATGCCGATGTTTGTTTTTTTCGGTCCCGAAATTTTGGGAAAGCCGCAGCAAACAAACTGTTTGATTCCATGTTTTGTTGAAACTTTTTGGGAGGCCATCCTGGGCCATGTTTTTTGTATGAGAGATCCAAAATCTTTCTTGTGCCAGAATTGTGGGGCTTTTGTGCATGTGGATCGTGGCAGGGGAGACGTTGCATGGGAAGAGTACGGCTCAAGGCTTCATTACTGACAGAGATGGAGGATACTTGCCACAGTTGAATAATCCTTCCCGCAGCTTCAGTAGATGGTGGTTCCATGTGACACATGTGCGGGCTAAAATATGAGCCACAATCAAATTTCTACATGGTTCCTTTGCTCCACAAAGCCAAGAGTTTCCGATCAGACACTGTTTGGCACAAGAGAAACAGTGGCTCTTTGCCTGAGAAACTTACCCATTTTTTTTGCAAAATGGTCGAACATGGCAGCCGTTCGTGCAGTGCGCGCGGTCGCTGCCTTGCTGTCTGCTGATGACTTGCAGGAACCCGGAAAACTTGGTGTCATGACTTGGGTGTTCCGTAGAAAGATGAGACCCAAGGGGTGTCCCGAGAATCATCTGAGATATTCAGGGGCTGTGGAGCGGATCCGGTGCGGAGCCTTTCGGGACTTTGTCATTGCGAGCTGTTTCGGGTGAACATCGTTTCTTTTTTCCTCTGATTTTGGCATGGCCTTTGGTCAAACTTACTGACACCTGTAGACTAGAGCAGGCTATTCCCCACGATTTATGATTGCTTTTTGATTGTTATTTGTTTTTTTGATTGCTTTTTGATTGTTTTTTTGATTGTTTCTTTGATTGTTTTTTTAAATTGTTTTTTTATTAATTGTTAATTGCTTTTTGATGATGATGACGATGACGATGATGACGACGACAACGACGACGCCGCCGCCGACGACGACGACGACGACAACGAGGATGATGCTGATGATGCTGATGATGATGATGAAGATGGTGATGCTGATTGTGATGCTGACGACGGCGACAACAAGACGACGACGACGACAACGAAGACGACGACGACCACGAGGATGATGATGACGATGATGATGATGGTGATGGTGACGATGACGATGACGACGACGAAGATGACGACGATAATGATGCTGATGCTGATGCTGCTGCTGCTGATGATGATGATGATCATGATGATGATGATGATGATGGTGGTGGTGGTGGTGGTGGGGTGACGACGACGATGATGACGACGATGATGGTGATGATAGTGATGATGGTCATGACCGTGGCGGCGATGACGACGACGACGATGACGATGATGATGATGGTGATAATGGTGATGATGGTGACGAAGGTGGCGGTGATGAAGACGAGGACGGTGACCATGATGATGGTGATGATGGTGATGATGGTGATGATGGTAATGATGGTGCAGTGAAGACGACAAAGACGACGATGGCAATGATGATGGTGATGATGGTGATGATGGTGATGATGGTGGCGGTGATGAGGATGGCAACAATGAAGATTATGATGATGATGATGGGAATGATGGTATTGATGGTGGCGGTGATGACAACGACGACGATGACGATCATGATGGTGATGATGGTGATGATGGTGATGATGATGATGACGGTGATGATGGTGATGATGGTTGCGGTGATGACGAAGACATTGACGATGATGATGTTGATGATGGTGATGATGGTAGCGGTGATGAGGACGACTACCATGACGATGATGATGGTGATGATGGTGATGATGGTGATGATGGTGATGATGGTGATGATGGTGATGATGGTGGCGGTGATGACGGCGACAACGATGACGATGATGATGGTGATGATTGTGGAGATGGTGGCGGTGATGACGACGACAATGACATTGATGATGGTGATGATGGTGATGATGGTGAGGAGTGATGATGGTGATGATGGTGGTGGTGATGACGAAGACGGCGAGTGATGACGATGATGACGGTGATGATGGTGATGATGGTGGTGGTGATGACGACGACGATGACAATCATGATGGTGATGATGGTGATGACGGTGGCGGTTATGACGACGACGACGATGACGATGATGATGGTGATGATGATGATGGTGATGGTGGTAATGATGGTGATGATGGTGATGATGGTGATGATGGTGATGATGGTGGTGATGATGGTGGTGACGAGGACGACAATGACATTGACGACGATGACGATGTTGATGGTAATGACGGTGATGATGGTGATGATGGTGATGACGACGACGACGATGATGATGGTGATGATGAGGTTGATGGTCATGATGGTGATGATGATGATGATGATGAAGATGGTGGCGGTGATGATGAGGAGGAGGACGATGACGATGATGATGGTGATGATGGTGTTAATGGTGTTGATGGTGGCGATGATGACGAAGACGACGTCAGCAGGGTTATTATCCTTGAGAGCAGCTTTAATTGCGCCGATGACGGCGATGACGGCAATGACAATGATGATGGTGATGATGGTGATGATGGTGGCGGTGATGACGACGACGAGGATGACGTTGATGATGGTGATGACGGTGATGATGGTGGCGGTGATGAAGACGAGGA